AATTATTGGGTTTTATTTTCCGAGTCGGTTTGGCTCTTCTATCCAACCAATTTTCATCAGCAAAAAGGTCCAAGGGAAAAACGGGCTAACCCCGCGAAAGTAAGTTTTTCAGGAGAGCCATAAGAAGGTTTTTCAGGAACTAATTGCCAGCCCATTGGTTTACAATTTGAACGGAGGTTGTCCCGTTCTTGCCTACGCTCATTGTGAGTTGACCCGTTCTTCCCCTGATTGCGTTTTTTCAAAAGTAATTTACTAGTATAAAGAGCCCGTTTTTGTCAATTTTAAAATTGGCAAAGTGTTTAGATTTTAAAAAAGTATTCAAAGCCGTTCATAACAAAATTTTGAATTTTTTAAGGGTTAGCCCGTTTTTCCATTCCAACATTGGACTCTTCAATGTTGGTCTTAAATTAAAGGTATAGACGCACAGATTTGCCATCAAGCATCGGCATTCATTTATCTGACGTATATTTAGAGCTATGCACAAAACTTCCTCCATGTACATTTCTTATCGGAGTTAAATTTGATTTTACTTTTCCGAGTTCGTTTTGCTCTTCTACCCGACCGATTTTACGTAATTTTGGTCTAAAAAAAGATATGCAAGCACAGATTTGCCATCAAGCATCATTATTCATTTATCTACTGTATTACTCACCCAAAAAACATAAATTTTATTTTTTTGAAATTTTATTATAATTTGTATTTTAGCAGTTCTAATTACATTATGTTTTGATCTAAGAACCTTCGGTGAAATAGCAGTTTTCAATGATACAAAAGTAAATCAATTATACGTAACTTGTAATTTTTATTTAAGTTATTTTACATGTCTTGGTTTTTAAATACTCCTAGAAATAAAGGATTTCATTTGAGATATTGATAGTTTGAATCAGTTATGTTCAATATATTGTATTACTCAATTAAAAAACATAAATTTGATTATTTCTCTGATATGGAATATTATTTTAGAAATGTTTACTCAATTCCAACTACGTCATCCTATATGTTTTAACCTAAGAACCTTCAGTGAAATACAAACTTTCATTTGAGTTAATCGTTATTAAGATCGGACGTAAGCTCGCTGCTGAATCACGAACGACACAGAATTCTCCAAAAATGGAGTTATTTATCATAGATTGATAGTTAAATGATTGAAACCTCAACAGTACCCGTAGATTTAGACGGGTTTCACATAGTATTTTTTTTTATTTGTTAACGTCTTTGTGTAGTGAATTTATATTTTGTCGTTACAATTCTAATAAACTTGTCTTAATAAAACGATTAACACAATAGTTTTGTTTGCATGACATTTTTATTTTATTTTTCAAATGATAGATAACCACCATTTTGAAAATAAGCACTTACAAAATAATTTTTTTTTTTCAATATATGTCTTTGCATTGTTGATATATGTACCAAATGTCTACTTACAAGCCGTTATATTTTGAGTTTTGGAAATGTTTAACGGTATAGTGATTTTCTTTGGACCAGGAATAATACCTCTACCTTAGGTCGGTAGAGAGATCAGGTACACCCTTACCCTGTATTGATTAAAAACTAGACATATGCACTTGATCGTTGGCCTTTTAATAAATGAACTAGTGTGCATGTTGCTCGAAATCGAGCAATTGCAAAAAAGTAAAGTAGTTATTTAAAAACAAATAACTTATTTAAAAACGAATAAATAAAGTCACAATTTCCGATGAGTTTAAAAGACTCAACTCATAGATTACGTACCTAACAGTTCCATATAATAAACATTTCTTGTAAATATTTTGTCATTTTCAAAAGCTGATATGGTTTTTAGTGTATTCTACAAATGTTTCCCACTTATAGCCGCATTAGGTTGTCCATGTTGATCTTCGTCAATGATAATGTAGTCAGCATGGTACTACCCAACTACCCATTGTCGCCATTACGTTAACAAATTTCAGTCATTTTTTATAGCGATAAAATTTTGTTTACATTACTTAAGATCTGCCTGATTTTCTGCATAACCTCTCTGTCACAATTTTATTTGCTTCAATTGGCATTAATTTGGCTAGTTACTGTTATAAAGTAAGTTATATTTACCTAAAAAAATGCAGAATTGAAAGGCCAAATGTTGTTCAGATGGTGTTTTGTGTCCCTTGAATGGAATAATGCGAATCCTTCAATGACATTATTATTAAGGTTTGTTGGATGCAGTCATATTATTATAAAATCACTTGACTTTTATGAAAACATAATATTTAATGTCCTTGTCGTAACAGTTTAATTCGGCCTCAAAAGGTATTTCCTTTGCCAATCATCATAAAGTTAAGTCCGTGTTTCCTACAAAATAGTAGCACTTCGGCTAACATCCTTGTTCATAGTTTTGTGGGAATCTTCATAATGTAGGTGTTCTTCATTATATAGGATGATAACGATAGTATTTTTTTAAATCTCTATTTCTTCTACTTGGTGGTGTTCTATTACTTTCCTATGTTTACATGGTTAACAAATCGGTTCTTTCAATGATTGATCAAGAATTACAGTAACCTATCAATTTATTTTTCTTATTTGGTAAAATATATCAAATTGCCCAGGCTTTCTCTCGATTTTTTACATTGTAATATGTACGAGTGTAAATTAAAATAGTAAATATTTATTTTCAACAAAATCAGTAAATGTACCAAATGCGTTTCGTTGAATTGAAAAATAAATAACATAGTCCAGTCAAGGAATGAGGTGTAGAGTGCGTGAGCAGGTAACTAAGCGATTCCTTCAGAAACTTGTTCAGGGGGCTTAGGGTGTTAACATACCAAAAGTCCTGACTCCTAGGTGGTGAGCCAGGGGGTGGAGGGGGGGAAAAGGGGGGGAAAAAGGTACGTATTTTGGGTTTTTTGATTATATCTCGAAAACTATCAACTTTTTGTATACTATAGTAAATTATAAAATTGAAGAAGATTAAATTTTCTACAAGAAAAGTATATAATGTGTTTATTTTGGTTCAACAGATTACGAGTTATAACTTATTTAATTGATATCTTATTAAAATACTCCTTCCATAAGAAATACATGTAAATTAGTATGCGAAATGGGGCGAATCCTATCCGCCCAAAGGAAATATAAATGATATTCTGGAAATCTTGACAAAATTTCCAGTAATTTGACACTTTAATCATTAAAATTGATCCAAAATTAAGGCGAGGGCGAGGTAACAAAATGTCGAGTTTTGGTGTTTTTTTATTGGAAATATAAAAAAACCTTAAATCATCCCATTTTTAAACGCTCACCCTCGCTTTAATTTTTGACAAAATTTCATGATTTAAGTGTCAAATTACTGGAAATTTGGTCAAGATTTCCAGAATATCAGTTATGTTTCCTTTGGGCGGATAGGATTCGCCCCATTTCGCATACTAATTTACATGTATTTCTTATGGAAGGAGTATTTTAATAAGATATCAATTAAATAAGTTATAACTCGTAATCTGTTGAACCAAAATAAACACATTATATACTTTTCTTGTAGAAAATTTAATCTTCTTCAATTTTATAATTTACTATAGTATACAAAAAGTTGATAGTTTTCGAGATATAATCAAAAAACCCAAAATACGTACCTTTTCCCCCCCTTTTCCCCCCCTCCACCCCCTGGCTCACCACCTAGGAGTCAGGACTTTTGGTATGTTAACACCCTAAGCCCCCTGAACAAGTTTCTGAAGGAATCGCTTAGTTACCTGCTCACGCACTCTACACCTACTTTTGGATCATTCATTGACTGGACTAACAGCAATTAAATTATAAAGCTGATCAAAATGTAAACAATCATGTTCTTCATAAGGATAACATGGGAACTTTAAAAGCCACTGGGGCAGAGCCCAAGGGACTCTTTCAAAAATGTAAGGCCAGTTTGCAAATCTACGTGAGACGGTCTTTCCAATGAGACGTCAATGGATAAAATCGGTTAAGAAATGGCGGAGGAGTTCAACTGACAAACTTCGTGTTCGCTTATTAATTATATAGATATGAATCAGCTGATGTTAGTCGTTAGTCAGTAACAGAACTACCCAGATCATCCACTCCATTCAACAATCGCACATATTCTGACTTAAATACGTCAACGTGAACCAGGAAAGTCACTGTCTTTAGTTAAAATGATTAAGTGTGGAAATTCGTCTATCTTTTGGTTTAGGTTATTGATTTTCAATCAACGACTTCTTTCTCTTCTCGTGAAATTCCTTAATTTTATTTTATTTTAGAGCTCTGTCCTCAAAACCCATCGTGTCATATTCAAGTGATTACTGTCTAAATGTAAATTGTAATCAAGATTTTCAAGCGGATCCACATTTTGCAGGATAGTCAGTCCTGGTGACAAGAGAAGAAAGCTCTTTTCGGGAGCTGAAGAGCTGTTTAAAATTCAGGAAGTCTATCTTGATGAGATCCCCGATTATTCTAAGTCGGTCATCTTCTCCGTGGTGAAACTTATGAGAAGTACTTGTCGTTCAGCTCTACCGGAAGTTAGTCTTCAGCACCTCTCCACCTTCCTAACACTGTAGACAGCCTTCACCTGATTCCCATAAATACCATCCGATAGTTTTCACTCATTGTGATGTAAACTGGTGGAAAGTTCTATGGCGTCATTGTATAATTTGCACTCACTGTTGTTTGTATAGAAGAATTGAACTTTTGCTTTCTTCTGCCATTTATCTATTTTATGTTTTCTCATTTAGGTTTCACAAGAGTCAGTATAATGTAAACGATTTCTGTTTCATCAGGGAAAATACATCGTAAAATGTTCATCCGATATGACTTGAAAAAATGTTGACAACTACACTTTAAACAATCAAACTGAAAATAAATTAATAACGTAAGAACTTTCAAATATCGTTTGTAAATGCGAGCATCTTGTTTTTAAAGATTTGTAAGAAATATAACTTCAAAAATATTTTTAAGTTTTTTTAGGTACGATTGTTTCTTCACTAAAGATTGGTGGGCATCAAGTATTTTTGAATTGTATTTCATACGTTTTTTTCTGTTTTCAGGATGTGACTACGAGAATGTTCCCTTTGCTGATACTTTTATCTGCCTCTGCGTTTTCTGTCTCCGGCTTCAGCGCTCTTTACTCCGATCAGAACCCAACTCAAGGTAAATCTTCATATTTGATTTACTAAAAGTATAAGTCATATCTGTACCCAAACAATGTTAAAATTATGAAAAGAACTTACGAGTCGCAAGGAAGTACTGACTAATAATGATCAATTAAACCTTGGAAAGGTATATGATGTACTGTTTCGGATAATTTGACGTAATGTAAAAGTAGAAATATACAAAAACACAAACGGCTATTCTTCCCACCAAATCCAATACGATCCGTATAATACTGCCCTAATATCTCACAGATGTGAAAAGTGCTGTAACGGTCAATTGTAGTGGGATCAGACACGTTTCGACATCAGTGTCCTAACCTCTTCTAGAATGACCGACTTGACACTCTGAGACTGAGACTATTTACGTGTTTCTGGAAGAGTAAACCAGAGGGAGGAGGGCAGGAAGCGGCAAGTGGCAATGAAAGTGCGGCGCAAGGTCAGGGCCCCCGTTATGTGACCTACTAATCTCCTGAAAGTGAACTTGGCGCGTCGTGGCTCGGAGCAGTGAGCATGCGCGTTGGATCGGTGACGCAGTACTACGCGTGGCAGGATTATGCGCAATGAGTCGGTGGTCGGCCCCACTTCAAATCTATTGTAACGTTGTTGTATACAGCATTCTTTCGTGTACGATCGACCAAGATGGCTGGGTTGTGGGGTCAGCAAAATATCTTGTTTGGGTAGGTTATGGTGAATCGCATCAGCAAGCTGGATAATGGATTAGTGTTGCTATAAAGATTCTTTTCTACGCTTAAGAAACGTCAGTCAGTATTTTTTCATGTCCAATCCCCAGAATATTTTAGATTCATATACAGTCTACTTTCATTTTTATATGATAGTCCTTGGACACCATCCTGAAAAAATAGACTTACTTCCTGAGCTTTTGCCGTCTGCAGTCAAAATTCTCCTTCCACCAAATTGTGCTGATTTTTGTGCAAATCGTCAAAAACGGTCTCTGTACCAGTCATAAGATGATAAAATACCCCCGCCACAGCAAACCTGCCGTCTAAGCGAATTTCCATTTGGCTGAATTGATTTTCAATTGATCTATTTAAATAACATTAGGTTTAACGAGTACCTAGGTTTGCTGCTACAAGAAAACTAATAAAGTGTGTGTTTTAAGTAAAATAATTTTTGCTTAGTATAAAATGAATATATTTGCCAAGTTTGATCAAAAGATATCCATAAACAAGCAAACTACAACATTTTACAATATTCTCCATAAGAATAACATGGGAATTTTAAATTTAAAATTTTTTTAGTTTTCTCCATAACCAATAACCGTACAAAAACACTTTGATATACTGAATTGTTTGTTTTTTTAAGCTCTTTAAGAAGGTTAAGAGAAAAATTGGAAAATTTTGTGTTTTGAGGGTCAAAAGTGAGAAAAGCCAATTTTTACCCCATAAAACCCCCCATAAAATCCTGTTCCCATGGTCCGATCATGCTGGATCGCAAACTCATTCAAGTTTATCCCGCCTTACACCTTCAAACCAAATTTCATCAAAATCGGATTAAAATTACTCAAGTTATCGTGTTCACGGACACATATATATATAAATCTATATATATATATATACATATATAAAAATTTGAACGAATGGTGTTTTTGGCCTCTGGGGACATCAAAATGAAAAAGTAAATCAGTCCCGGGCCTAAGTCTTACCATGAGACCTACGGTAATAGCTACTTCCCTATAGGGAAATTCGCTAAAACTTGAAATAAAAATGGAACTAAAAATATAGCGCTACCATACAGAATGGTCCTGGAAGTAGATTCGGTACTTTGGTATTATACAGAGGCCACTTATTTTACAGCCTGCAATGTTAGGTTGGGTTATCATAAATATGTTTGTAGGACTTTCCTCTTTTCGTTATGAATCGAACATACCAGATGAGTCAAACTTTCTATTTATGATAACCCAACCTAACCGCTGCAGCGCAAAGTATAAGGGTGGCCTCCGTATTATGCCAAAGTACCTAGATTCAATATTATGTTGAACTTGCAACAAAACTAGTCCAACAATCATTCATTTGGGCTAATTATACAAAATGGAGGATTAGATGAAAGGGACTTTTGCATCTCTGGTCCAAGTTTCAGGGAAAACTAGATTTTCAATAACATGTGTGCTTACTGTAACCTAGAGTGTTAATTACCTGGATTGTGGTTTTCTAAAACGTAATTGTCTAGGTAGTCAATTTGGAATATCAATTTTTGAATTCCTTAAGAAAAAAGGGAGGAAAATAAAATCAAAGGCGTGAAATTAAACCACGTAAAGTGTAGGTAGTGATGTTCCATGACCCCCTCTCTTTCTCCAGTAAACATTTTTTAATGTTTTGAAATTAAAACTGTTTTAAGGAAAGTGTATAAAAAATACTATCCATGTATATTATTTAACAGATTTTAACTGCGCTACACTAGAATTATCTATGTGGGATGGTAAAAGTGATAGCCTGATAGGGGGGGGGGGGAGAAGAGGTGATAATTGCGTAGACTTAAACAGCAATGATAGTTTTAAGGAGAAAATAGTTTTAGTTCAAAGAACGTATTTTTGCCACTACTGTTTAGTGGTTTTAATAATTTCTTAAATAAAATTAAAATGTTTGTTCAATCTCTTTAATCTTAAATACAAATTTTTGTTTCAGGAAAGAAATTTGGAGGTTACCGTATTGTGCCAAAGACCTGTGCAGACTTAACATCAAATGGCAAGGCGAAGGGAGTGTGCATGTTCAACTATGAATGTGCACAACGAAACGGTCAAGTGGTCGGATCATGCATGGACGGTTTCCTCTTCGGTGCTTGTTGCAAACTTCCACCGGGATCCGTCTATCTTCCTCCAGGAGTTGATGTTCCCTCCTCTTCCCCTTCAACAACATCTCTCAAACCTATTGACCACAACACCTTTTCTACAAAGCCAATCACTCTTCATCCTGTCGGAGAAACTATTCTTCTTCACAAAAATGGCTCTGTAGTAGTCGATCAAAATGATCCACAGGAATTTGATTTACTGAAAAAGCCACAGGAAGGTTCTCCATTACCGGAAGTCAATACCCCAAGTTATGTAATTGATCTTGAGAATCATCTGTCTTCAACTAACGTTTTCACAAAAACAGATGACGATTCATCTCATTGGGTAACCAAACACCCCTATAATTCCAATACACAGGCCATGTCTAAAACCACTCAGTCCGAATTCAATGCAGTCACACCTTCAATGCAGGGCACCACCCGTCATGATGAGGAGAACTTTCCTTCGACAACTGACGATGACACTGTTACTAAACATTCCACACTCAGTATGCAAACACATTCTACTACTAAGTTACCGTCCTATGTTTACTTCACAAAACCAGGCCCTACAAAAGATTCCAACAAACCTGTACTGTTTACAAAGCCCATATCTTACACCTCCAGCAACCAACCCCTGAAACCAAAACCTGTTACATCAAATACTTTTACTCAATCCACTACTGAAAAAAGCTACTCGACTCATTCCCTACCACATGAAGACAATATGCTCCTCATTCCTACCATAACAAACAGCAAACCTGGAATTGAGGATGTAACTGATGCTGTATCTATAAATCACATCCTTCATCTTTTGAACGATACTGAACCAGTTCCTGAACCTATTTCAACAAGTTCACCCAGTTTATCAACCTGGGTTTCAATCAACGGGAAACCTGAGAAAACCGGTTCATATCCCTCCTCATACACAACCTCCCACTACTATGAATATGAAGCCTCTAATGAGCCTTCTGTGAGTACGACAGTGCAACATGTTCAAGGACCTTCATTCCAAGTGACCCCACAAGTAGACATCACACCAAAACCCCATGACAACACTACACCCGAGCCTCCTCCTACAGTGATAGTGCTGGGTCCTTTCAACACTTACTCCTCAGTGAAACCAGCAAACACTCCCAGTTACAACGACAATCAACAGAAACCGTCACAAACCGTGACTGTTCTGTCCCCCTTCCAGCACTCGACCGTAGTGACTGTGAAGCCAACAGGCAGTGTGATATCAGTTAAACCTCCACCTCATTCCACCTACAATCACCAACCTTCGTGGACCACTGCTTCTCCCTACATCTCTGTTACTCACCCATCCACTGGTGGATCTCAACAGATGACCAGTCCAGTTCATCTTATAACCAAACCTCCTAAACCTTATCCTTCGATTTATTCATCCAACAAACCGATCACTTTCACCACAGTAAAACCAGTCCAGACTTACATATCTCAAAAGCCTGGGAGTTACATATCAAATAAGCCAGTTCTTATTACTTCCTCAAAACCGGGATACCCGCAACAGAATAGACCTATTTTTGTTTCAACTAACTCAGTTTCAAGTCTTGATACATCTTCGAGCAAACCTGTCCAGTCTTCTTACATAAAGCCTAAACCTTCAGATAAATACAGACCCACTGTCAACACTGTGAGGCCAGTGTCTGTGATAACACAATCTGATGATGAACCAGTGGTGAATAGTTCAAGTCTTCTTGTAGCATTTCCTCCAGTGAGAGATCCAAACATCACACTCCTCTCACAATCTGATAAGCCGGACCTCTCTACTTCAACCACTGCCATCGACGAAGAGCAATCAACGGTGAACTTCATTGAAGATGACACACTTAATGACAAAGTCCACGGTTTTGTAGAAAAAATAGTTCAGTCACTTGAAGGGAACTTTGTTGACTTAGAAAATGTTCTATTAGATGGTCAAACAAAGCCAAATGCTACACTGTCTCAAAAACCAGTGAAAAAGCCTTCCACAGTGTCAACTTCTTCAAAACCTTCCAGACCCACAAAAAAACCCTCCACTAAACCTACTACTCCAAAACCACTTGTATCAATCACAAAACCGACATCGGTTAAGCCGGATATATCCATTTACACAAATCGCCCGACCACGACTGTATTACTGTCTACCAACTACAAACCACTAGACGATAGTGAAAACAAACCCACTAAAAAACCTACTTCACCCTCGACATTGGTTGTTTATCAATCGAGCCCAACCTCGACGACCACAAAACGACCGACGCCAACAACAGTTGTCTTAGACAACATCAGTATTGTCGAAGAACAAACTGAAGCTTCGCCATCAAAACCACCGTCGGAAGTGAACTACAAGAAGGGTGAGTGATTGTTTTGGTATATGTTTCAAACTGCACGTTATATACCTCTGGCCCATCAAGATTTTTCCCAAATTAATAATTTTCATTGTAAGAAGTACAAACGTAAAATACCCAAAGGTAAATCATCTTTATACATCAGTATTTTATTTTCAGAAAATTATAGAAAAACTTGGCCTGAATTTTCGCTTCAGTTAAATCCAATACATAATAAACAAACATAATCCTTTGCTGATCCCAATGGAAGATCATCAGCTTGCATCTATTCATGTTGTCTCAACCACTTTATCTCAGCTTCTTTAACCTATCTTTATCCTTATTCCTGTCCATTTCTGCTTTGAATTTCCAATTCCTTGAAGTCATCCTGATCTGCAGGCAGCTGACATCAGCTTCACGGTATTATTGATGTTAGTATTTTTGTTACTTACATAATGAATTTTAGATTAAGTCCTTGTACAGTAGTGTAATTTACTGTAATACCATGTTCAGTTGATGTTAAGCTATGCCATATACAGTACAATTTATATTTATCAAGCCATATATATTTGAACATATTTAATATTTCCATGATTTTTACAAAAAAGTTCAATAAATTCTTTATTAGCATCGTACATGTTATTTAATTTACAGAACGTAATTAAAAAATATGTCTAATAACACTTGAAACATATATTCACACTCACACCGTTAACCCACAAAATAATAAGTATATATAAGTAAAACACGGTAAGCGGTGATCGATTTCGATTGAACACTCCAAATTGGACACTCCGCTCAATGTGTCCCTAATAAATGTGGCCGGCTACCATCATTAAATGTCTTGTGTTAAAAATGTGTGAACTTTATGTGTCGACGTGTATTTATATCTTACAACGAAGACTTCTGTCGGATTCATGGACCAACCAATTGATGACATGGGTTTGAAAAACTAGTCACCCTTGACTATATTAAGGACTGGAGACAGAATTAAAAGGTACGTAACCTATCATATAATTTGGCACTCCAATCATGAGTGTCGAATCAAAATCATTCACCTCTTACCATCTTTACCGTCTCGTGAGCTAATAGTTTAAGTGTTAAATATATGTTTCAAGTGTTTTTATATTTATTTTTATTTACTTTCCATCACAAACTGCCCTGTGTAAGCAATGATATTTTATTTATGACTGAAAACGGAAAATGTTGTAGAGTGTGGTGTTAGACCGCTGATGAAAAATGGAAGAATTGTTGGGGGAAAGGGAGCAACATTTGGAGAATGGCCGTGGCAAGTTCTCGTGAGAGAGGCAACATGGCTTGGGCTATTCACCAAGAACAAATGTGGAGGTGTTTTGATCACTAGTAGATACGTGATCACAGCCGCTCATTGCCAACCAGGGTAAGTTGCTATTAACAGTAATGGAGCATACATCTAAAACATAGAAAACAATCAACTAATTCATTACGAAAGAAACTGACACTCTTTGTGTATAGGAGTTTCTCCCATACTTTTTTGGAAAGCTTTTGTATTTTTGTAAAAGCATTTGTATGCTGAGCCAATCTCAACGTTTCTTAACATGACGATGGCTTCAGTTTCAAATATTTTATATTGAAGCCAGTAACCTCTTATACTTTAAGAGCAGAATAGCATTTAATGGTATGATTAGACAATAAAAAAGATTATTCGTGAAAATCTGCAATTCCTTAACTGTGCAAAAAGTAATTCTTTTTCGCAACACTGACTGTGAATTTTTTGTCCACTCACAAAAAATTGAATTAACCTCTCGATCTTACAGGTTTTTGGCTTCGCTAGTGGCAGTGTTTGGAGAGTACGACATCAGCGGGGAGTTAGAATCCCAACGCAGTGTCAGCAAGAATGTGAGGAGAGTCATAGTGCACAGACAGTATGATGCGGCTACCTTTGAGAACGATATTGCACTTCTTGAACTAGAATCCCCAGTCGCGTTTGACTCACACATTGTACCTATCTGCATGCCTCAAGACACTGACGATTTCACAGGAAGAATGGCCACAGTCACTGGCTGGGGAAGATTAAAATATGGTAAGTAACATAACTTGTTATGAAATGCATATTTTGTTATGTTATGTTTTGATTCAAAATATTAATTTGAAATTAATTTGAATACACTTTTTAGTGTATTCCAACATCAAGCAATTATATTTTTTTTTTACTTGAAATGGACAGGTTAAGAAACAGTGTGTTTGGTAGTCATGAAACATAAGGTTGGATGTAAGGTATTTAGCACTGATAAGGAGTTAGGATGTAATATCTTAGCTAATATGAATAAAATGAAAACCTGGTTTTAGCCTTAAAAATATTGTATTGGTTTTGGTAGAGGGTTTTTTTTGCGGTAGAGAAAAAGTTCTACTCCTCTGAGAGACCTTTTATGTATGATTGATATGTAGAGCTTCAGATGGACTCCAAACCTGGATTGGTCAGATCCAGAGGCGGATCCAGGACTTGGTTAAGGGGAGGGGGGCACACTTAAATTTTTAAATATTGTGTGGCATTTTTGCCATAGTTCATAGCAGCTATATCAACGAAAATGTGTGAACTTTATGAGGATTCAAAATAAAACCCATTTTTGAAGTTGGGTTCAGTTTACTGGTATTTGTAAAAAACCTGAATTAATGAACAACTTTTTGGTTTATTGGTTGTTATGCAATAATTTTGTCCCCGCGATTGCGCGGGACGTGAAGATTTAGCCATGATCGCGAAACACAATGATGATATCTTTGCAAATTGCAATCCTGGTGGGTGTTCAGGGTATTGTCCGGATCTCAGGAAACAATAACGAGTCTTGGCGTCCACGGGGATGTTCATGATATTTCCAAAATTGCGGTAGACTTAGCACCTACAGGGTTGTTCAAAATTTGGTCGTGTTTGCAACATTGAGTGATGTGGATAAAAACCAGCACTTTCTAACCATCATATGCTAGCTCTAGTAAGTATTTGGTCAAATCAGTGTGAATAAAGATTTGTAGAAAATACTAGGGCAAGTCTAGTAGAATCCGGAAAAACCCAAGCACTTACTCGCGGAGTAGTACATGCTAGACCAAGTAAATGCTAGGTTTTAATTTATACTAGGATATCCTTTTCTAAAAATATAATCATCACTGTGTAGCCCAGGCTTTTGTATCTCAATTTGAGTACAATCAAGTTACCGCCACGAGTAGGCCTATGACTTTCTTAAAAAAAATAGTCCGCAAGGAAATCAACCCTCTCACTGTTAGACCTTAACAGTTCTTTACAATTACGTTCATTTATTCCAGAGCGAACAGAATAAATTTTCCGTTGACAAATAGGCATAAACTGAGCCATGATCAACAACAAACTGTGGACTGAGCAAACAGGTATGATGCTTAGTAAATGCTAGGAAAAAGTCCAGAATGCTCCAGACCAGGCTTGAAAATATCGAAGCATATGCTACAGAACAATCTACTTAAAAAGTTTTATTCACACCAATTTTTAAGTATTTACTTCTCTCCCGGGAAAACTCTAGAACTTACTATCCCTAGCAAGTACTAGTGTGTTTATTCACACAAAACATAGCATTTACTTAAGAAATCCCCTAGTATTTGCTTATACTAGTTTTTATTCACATCACTCTGTCTTGGTGTTCACGGGAGATGCTCTTAAATCCGCCACGATCACGGGATACGATTATAATGTCTTCGATATAGCGGGGTTGTTTAAAACTTTCCCGCGATCGTATGAGAGGATAGCGTTGTCAACACGATCGCGGGAGATGTTGAAGACAATTTTAAGGTTAGATCCTACTGGTTTATGTAGAGGGCAATTTATTGATTATCAAATATTCCCTTTAATTTTTAGCCTATTTAAACTCTTAACCAAATAAAACGATCTATTATAAATCCAGCACTTAACCTGTAGTATAGTATTTGAACAAAATAATAAAGAGCAAATAATATAATTTCCCCTAAAAAGAAAATGAGAAAAAAACATTTAGTCAATACTCTCAAACCTCACTAATACGAAACTATTGACCCCAATATAAAATAATATATATATGTAGTTTTTGATATTGGGTATATAAAAATCAATTATGAAACGCAGGGGCGAATATAAGGGGGTGGTCAGGGGTGGTGCCCCCCCCAATATGATGGATATGAAAAATAAATAGGTACGGTACCATAATATTAATTATTTATCGTGAATCATGCGCAAAGTCATCGCCGTGGCAGACAGTGATAGTTTGTGCGAATTCAGTTTGATTCAGACCGACTCGAGCTCCCGTCCGCTGCCCGGCTATCTTCGCTTGCAGCAGTGACCGCTAGAGACCAGCATATCTACCGGCGACAGGGGAGGGGAGTAATGAAGAGTTCAGTCAGTTCATTGGTAGCCATTGTTATTGTTTGTTATTTACATCTGTTCGGCATATGTTGTACTGAAATGTTAACGTTTTCTTTAGTTCGCTCAAAAAAATACTTATATACAGTGATTAGAACCCCTCAGAATATAATGATAATCACAATCACGTATTTGACTCCTTAGGTTCGGATAAGTGTTTATAGATGGGATGACACACTGTTAAATCTTGACCAATGTTTTTTGGTTTAGAAATTTGATATATTTTCTTCATTTGGCTTGAATAGATATTCGTATGATTTAATGGAACGATATAATGATACAGCGTGATCTTGGTAAAGTAAAGGTCACATTTAGCGCAAATTACCGCAGCAAAACTAAGATAAAGTATCTTGGTGTGTCTACTTGAAATTACTTAACCTAACCTTAAATTAATTCCCCCCCCCTCCCTACAAAAAAATATTCTATATCCGCCACTGATGAAACGCACTCAAAACAAGCTTCAAAATTTACAATAGGATGAAAAGAATACATACATACAATTTAATATAAATACCAGAACCATTCCATACAGTCTTATGGAATAAAGCTTAGAATATCAGTTTATGGTCATACCGGATTCAATCTAGTTCATATGGAATGGAGTGGATCTAGTGCAACACATTCTGAAGTGGGCAAATAAAATGTCCTTTATTCAGTCAAATGTGACTGCTTCCTCAAAATAAAAGCTATTAAAGTGGAATAGCTTGCAGGGTTAAGTATTTTACAAGGAAAATACATAAATTTGTCAATTTCTGGCAGTTAAGTAATAATAGAGTGTAGGCCAGGCCTTCACATTATTACATTTTAGGCCTATCCTATAGTTAAAAAATGTTTATGTATGAGGGGGGGGGGGGGGCGCGTACCCCCACTCCCCCTGACTGGATCCGCCACTGACCATGTCTGAAAGTTGAAGGAATTATAAAACAGTATTGGTTAAGATAGGAGGAAGTGAAGCAACTTCTGTGTCTTGGTCAATCATTGTAAGTTGGATCAAATAAGAGAAAATTGGTTTTAGCTCTTTTTTAAGGAGGGGTTGAGGACATTGAGGTATAGCTACACATAGCTACTGTGATCGTTTGGCCTTTTGTAGCACATCTTGATTCAACCCATCGAGGCTCTTGGTCAATCCTAACAGGTGTAGAACACCCATTTATTTGATTTCCTTTGGTATCATGGTCCCCTTTCCTAGGAATTTCAACATTCTCTGGCCTAAAGCTGGATCCAGTGACGATTGTTCAGCGGATTCTACCTTTTTTGCACAAAGTCTGCATTGGTCTGTTTGGCTGAGCACTGGGACCCCTAAGTTTGTTGTATCAGGTGGACCTTGAAACTAATCTTCATGTGAATTTGCAGGAGGTGGAGTACCAAGTGTCCTGCAGGAAGTTCAAGTCCCAGTCATAGAGAACTCTGTCTGCCAGGAAATGTTCCACACAGCTGGTCATTCCAAGAGCATCATCAGCAGTTTCCTCTGTGCAGGATATGCCAACGGTCAGCGGGACTCTTGTGAGGTCAGTGATGTTGAGGAAATAATTATTTGAGCTTTTTTGGGGAATACTGCATATAGAATTATAAAAAAATTCTGCCGGATTTGTGCTTATTTGGGGAATGCTGCACGTAAAACTTTGGGAACCCTTTCTGTTGGTTCATAATGTCCAGTATATCAGTTAGCGGCAGGTATTTTGTCGTAAATATTGTCGATTTAGAATTTTTTTTATATACACTCCAGTAGCTTAAACAAAATTTAGTACAGATCTCAAGAAAATTTTGTAGGTTACTGACGTAAACTAACATAGCAAGAGTTTTTTTTTACCGCAATGCTCAGTCAATTTAATTTGTCAATAGAGTCTGAAGTGTCTCACACTGGTGACAAAATTAAGTATAGTATACATTGCTCGTGCTCTTATTTTGTTCTTTAGATTTTCTAAAGAACTACTTAAAAAAATTCTTTTAACCGTAACCGAGATATGCCAAACAATGCTAAACATGCCAGAAATCTTTTTTTTTGTGGAGGCCCCGATTCTTTATTAGCGCCACCACTGATATTAGCTGCTATTGTTTTTCTAATCCCAATCATTGACTTTTAGAAACTGGAGAAGGCATCTTATCTATATGGAACTGTTGTAGTCAATTAAAAAAATATGCTTTAGCTTTTTGTAAGCTGTACCTTCAGTTTTGCTTGGATAAAAAAGTTGGTGTATTCGACAGAAACCAGTCCATTTTTATTACAAAACTGGCTAATAAGAATTGAATGTCTATAGCTCTATCCATGTCAAAGGTCTAATCTAAAACCAAGCAATACAATAGCTGATTAGTTTAGAAAGAGATCTTTAAAATTACTGAATAATATGAAAGCTATGTTGAAAACTTTTGATGAGAAAGTTATAACATGTTAAACTATAAAGCTTACTTTAGTTTCAAATTGAGCTTGTATTAAAAAGTGTCACTTATACAACTGAAAACATGCTATGTCTATGTGTGTGTGTAGGGTGACAGCGGAGGACCCCTGATGGTAGAGCGAGAAGATGGTCGGTGGGTTCTGGCCGGCACCGTATCACACGGTATCAAGTGTGCGGCACCCTACCTACCTGGCGTCTACATGCGCACAACCTATTACAAACCATGGCTACAAACCATCACCGGGGTCCACTGACGCCCGCTTTCCTGACATTGTGATATGTACTTTACTTCCAAAGACTGTTAATCGTGTATAAATCGACTGTGTCCATATTGTATAGAATTTTATGAGTACGCACTATGTGTCTTAGTTAATGCTTGATGTTCTTTTGTGAAAACTCTTCCTTTCACTGTTAACTGTTTTATTCAAATGCTAAAAGCTTTATGAATCTGCACATGAGAAAAATTTTTTCTGTGTAATGAAGATTACATGGAATCTGAGATGCAATTGTATATAGTTAAAAGCTTCAGCAGGAATGTAAGGGATAAGCGATGTATGATTAGCAACTGGCAAGTTTATAGTGAATTTAAATAGGAATAATTTGCTGAAGATTTTACTGATATTAAGTTCCCAATATTTATAAATTCTTAATTCAATGTTACATTAGACACAACACAAATTGATACAACACAGATTTATAAATAAATACACTCAATTATTGTTTCATTATTGTGGATTCACAAAATCAGCTGATAGATTTGGAATTAGAAACAGCTGTTGCTATTCTTTAAGCCCTTCCTATTATCAATCAATCAATCAATCAATCAATCATTGAGATGGGGATGTAAATATAAGTACTTTTTTTTACCCCCTAATTTCTTTTGCTAATTTGGTTCTTATTTTGTTATTTTGCCATTTTGTTGTGCTTAATCAAAATAAATTATACTTGGAGATATTTTTTTTTACATGAGTGTGTATTGATTATAACTGCAAATTTTCAAGGTTGTGGCGAGTATGGTAACTTTGATAACAAGTGTAATTTTCAAATCCCCTTGAAATTATTTTACCCCTATTGAAAACATTGATAAGAAGTCAACCTTGATAACAAGTCTTATTTTGTAATCCCCATGGTTCTACTGTATATTAATTCAACAATAGGGACCATGTCAGGGGACCTTCTATACATAAAAGATGTTACATAGCAATCAATGTTGACCAATCAAAGTAGGTCAACAGGTCATCAGGCACAATTGGAGACTTAGAGAATCCAAATAGCAAGTTATTTTGTCTCGAGGTAAGCATTAAACTGAATAATATCCAAGTATCCTCTTACACTTTTTAAAAATAAAAAAAAATAAAATTCTAAGTGATTGTTAACTAAATTTGAGTAAAAACTAGAGAAATGGTAGCAATTTAAACATAGTTAAAGAATTAAACATGAATGAATAACTTACGTTGTAAGGGCAATGTCATTATTTTGGTTCTGTGAATTGAGATATATAGTAAAAGTTATTCAAACTCTATTATATTTCAGCCAAGCAGATGGATATACATAATTCCACTCATATTCCCAGTTGTTAATTGTCAATCGCTTAAACCTTTTATGGCTGAAGCATTTTAAACAAAATTTAATATAATTGCTTTACCCTTTAAAATAATTATAGTATTTGCTTTAAATTGAGTAGGCCTATAGAATTCTTATATTTATTCCAAAAATAAATAACTGTGAATTCATACAGATGTTTCAAAAAGGGCTTTATCTTTGACAAATAAATCGTCCTTTTTAATATGCTGAAATGCTTTGAATGTAATGTTACAAATATGACGAATATGTTGACTCATAATATATATATATTCTGTGAATTAATTTTGATACCATACCCTATTTGTTATACAAGCAGAAAGTAATTACAAAACCATTTGGTAGCAGCTCCTTTTCCTGAAAGAACCTTGGGTATATCCATTGGTAATCTTTTGTCCCATGCAGAAAAAATACCTTTTTGAGAAAAGATATTTTCAAATTAGTGTTGGGTCTATTAGGTCATAATCACAAAGCTGTTTCTTCAGCGAGTGTGCACTTTTTTTAGTTTATCAAGGATACAAAATATGGGGTCATACTAGCTTAGTATAAGATCTGTCATGTGATGCCATTTTGCGGTGATTTTTGTTAAAACTATCTCCAACAACCCACAGGTTGACTAACAAAACCCATATTTATATTTGTTCAAAAAGAAAAAGCTCACCTTTTAAACAAAATTACGTACCAAAAAAGCATTTCTGTGTAATGAATAAATCAACTATTAGTTATTTGTCAAAGTTATGAAGTTCATTTTGAAACATATGGTTATGCTTCCATTTTATAAGCTGCATGAAAGACATTAAAAAGTGTATTTACAATATTTTGTTGAAGGTTAAATGTCTTCCTGTTTTTCCATTGAAAATGAACTGAGAGCACTAGTGTTTTAGGAAAGTTTTGTACAAATGTAAAAAGTTAAAAGGCTTTTCAATGACAGATTCTGGATGTAACCATAGCCTATGAGCAACTAGTTACCAACGGTAAACATTAATAGTTTCGTCTTACAACACAAATCTATCTTCTTCTATATGCTCTTGAATAGCTTTCAACTTTTCCCTGCAACTCTTCCTTGTATTGAGCACTGAGGATTATGTCTGCTAAGAAGTGGTTGTAATATTTTATCATTTTTTGTGAATGGACATGAATATTCTTGTTATGTTACATTATATGAAATTTTAAGTTATAGTAAACAATAATCTTGATAACAATTTCGTAAAGTTACCAACAGGTTGATAATGAATCATAAAATTTCAAGCGACAGTGGATTTACTGGCATGTAATTTTAGTTCAAATTAATTTAAACTGTTTGTATATTTATAAGAAATTCAAAGATATGTTGAAATATGAAACTGTATCCAGGTCTAATGTGATCTTCCGTCGTAGTTATAAAGGTCAATAAACTTATGTAAAAACATGTAAAAAATCCTAAACTGGGCCAACATGTGCACTAAAACAATCCACCAAAAATGTATTTAATGGTGTTGTACAAATGTTAGTTAAGGAACTTATATAATATTTATTTATTGTAATTTATTTTCACATTTAATGTAAGTATTTATTGTTTAAAAGCTTTATTATTGTTGTAAAAATGTCTGTACAATATACTTGTTTGTTTTTTTTTTTACCTTCAGCAAGCTTAAAATAATTCTAATCGTATTGGGCATAAAATGTAAACTTTTGCAAAAGATTATAGAAAATTATATTTTGGGTTGATTTTACAAATAAAACACTTTGGATCATTTACGTCTAAATACAAGTAGGCAAAATAAAAACTAGTGTATTTAATGAAATGATTTAACGGTACGTCCAGAGTGCACGCCGATTCAGATTTTCAGCGGCAGGAATGGCACATGTATTCAAATGGAAGTGTCCATAGTAGCCGCCGGTTTCTGAGCCGGCGCGCAGGCACCTGCTTACCAAAATGAATTCATCATTCTGGTTTCAGATTCTGATTCAGATTTTGCTTGTACGCATACTATTTCATTAAAAAAATTTTGTTTGTATAGTAAAATATTTAATTTTGTCATCCTTATTTTTAGGGTTACCACTAAACACTCTCCAGGAAAATTGTTTTGTTTGTGTAGGTAACAAACAAAAGTTTCTTACAATACCAAATGTCCAAATTTAATAATAAGTTTCGGTGGTTTTGGGCTCCATTCAACGCAATATAGAAAGAAGCTCTATCAATTCTAGCTATGGGTGAAGATATATATAATATCATGAACACCATTTTTCACTGGCTGTAACTTCACAACAGTTTCAGACGTTATAATTTTACACCTTTATTCCTCATCAGACAATTTCATAACAACGACTGACTTGCTTCTTTGCTAACCGAATCAGTACCGGTGGCGTATTTTCTGCTTCCACTGTGGCCACCAACAAAATATCTGACTCAGATTAACCATGCGCCGAAAATCTGAATCTGAATCTGCGTGCACTCTGGACGTACCGTAACATTGACGAATGTAATGAAATATGTACTTATAAAAATGAGCGCTTTAAAGTCAGTTTCAGCCATATTTTGATAGTATTAGTTTTAAGGATCAATGCAGAAGATTAATCTCAAATTTATATTTTTTTTGGAGCAGTGAGTCAATGATTATAACTCACTTAACCTCTTTCACAGTTGAGGTAAAAGTATAATATGTAAAACCTTTTCTATGACCAATCATCAAACAACAATTTGAAATATAAATAAGCCATTAGCTTTTTCAAAACCTACGTTTATTTTAGACTCAATATATTTCCACCGTCCAATACCGTTTGATAGATAACTTTGACAGTTCTTCGAGTAAATGAAAAATTATTATGTTTTACAATTTCACAGATTGGTAACTCTTTGAAAACATTGCATTCAGTTCCAACAGTTCAAAATGTAAGTATAAAATTGCTAAGGCTTAAAAAATTAATTAATTAAATAAAACTCAATATCTATAATTTATAATTATTTTTACGCTATTCATTGCTAAATCTTGAAATAACGTTTTGTCTCCTTTGCTAACTACCACCATTTAAAATGAAAATTTTTGGGCACAGTTAAAAATAAATCAGGTTCAAAGTTCAAACAACAAATAAATACTTTTATTTGAATAAATGAACAATCAATATCCAACAACTCTTCTCTTTTTTAACATTTGTAATATTCATATTATTTATAAATTATTAACTTTAGATTTATTTCTTCAATGTTTGGTTAGTTAGCTAACTAATAAATACTAAATAATCAAATCACAATTTTACATTTTTTTTTTTTGCCCAAGAACAAACACACATTCAGAAAATGTTTATACATTTGGAGAAAAAGACTACTACAAAAATCTAACACATTTAGGTGAATAACAATTATTGCCTTGAATGTATCTGTCAAATTAATAAATACAAATAGTAACGTAATGTCAAATATCACAGAATATATTAATGTTATACTACGTTACAAGAACATATTAAATACGTTAGTGCAGAGTATAACCTACAGTGTTTATGTAATTTCTTGAATTAAAGCACTTAAAGTAGATTCATGAAAACATTAAGTTATATCAACACTTATTGTTATTTAAAGCTGTTGAACAACATTCGTAGAACTTTAACCTGTTCTTAGATAGTAAAAGTATACAAATACTTTGTTGGAATCTTTATAACATTTAATCAAGTGTCCAGGAAGGATATAATTTTTACCTATAGCTCAACATAGTAATCATACATGGTAATGTAATAGCTGAAACACATTATATTTTCATTTTAAGCTCTCAGGTACCTTGTTTTAAGATGAACAATTATAAATATATTGTATTAATAACATTGGCATCAAGTACAGGAACCCGTATCAACTGATAAACCTAGAACTATACATTTAACCTGCTCTGAGATAAATATGAAGGTCACTTTAATGTATCATTTTAAAGTATAGGTCTTCTACTATTCTTACATTTAGTTTTAACAGCCACAGAGTAGTAAGGTGCAGAGGAAACATTAAATGGTCCGCTTAAGTGGTGTCTAGCACTAGCCGCTGGTGTCTAGGGCTAAGTCCAACACCACCCCTATTCCTCATGTACTAGAACACTAATGGTGGAGGAAGACCTTGCATCCCGTGCAATAGTAATTTTCACACAGTGCGGGGTATTCCGTGCTCGTAACAAGTATATTTTTGACACAACATACTAGGAGCTAAAAGCGCACTGTCATCCTATGCATGTTTCCTCTGTATCTTACTTTTCTGTACTATGACAAATTTGTCTGTAACAAGCATTCATTTAACGCCATACTCAAACAAACACTGTACAAGTGCACAAGAATGTATACTGAATTGCCGTGTAAGGCTAAATGGTTATGTTACTTTTTGTTAATTTATGGACAATCCACTCACACTACTGTAGGCCAAGAGTTTTATGAAGCATAAGTTATGTGAACTCTTTTATAATTATTATAAGCTGATAAGCACATAAATAGTTCAGTACACCTGTTCAAATCACTTTAACACTTAAATAAGACTAGTTGATGGGTTCAGTTTATACCCATTCCATATTCTACACTCACTTAGACATAGAGTGGTACCCTATGAGTTATTCAAAGAGGAGATTAACTATTGAAACAAAAACTCTTTGAAACCAACATAACATTGATTAAAATCTCTGAGGAAACTAACAATAGATAAACAAATAAGTAAACAGCACCGTAATTATGTTTCATTTTTATACTACATCTTAAGGCAAATGTGAAATCACAGATACTTAAAATAATACGAGTACACTATCAAGCTATCATAAGGCACATGACACATCAACAAAAATAAATCATCAAAAACATTTATCAATCTACTTAACTAAGCACCGTAAGAATTCATATTTCAGATGTAAAGTGTTGAGAACCACAAACATTTTTTAAACATACTTGTATGCAAAGCGTAACTATATTTTAGGGTTTTTTGGGTCACGAAAATCACCCAAAAGTTATATAACATTTTGAGCAAAATATAATTTAAACAGTTGATACTGTGTATTATGTGGTTGAGTCAAACATATACTCAACAATTCTTGGTTTTGGTATTTGAAATTTAAGTTATTTAAAATATGCCAACTAGAAGATATACGTATATGGTAAAAATCTGTTTTTAAAATTTTGTTATACCAAATCTTTGAGCGAACTAGAGAAAAATGTTTTCTTTGTGTGATTCTTTTACACATACATACAAATACATTTATATAAATATTATATATTCATGCTTAGTTCTCAGTCTTAGATTAAGTACATTAAAAAACTAAAATACTGTTAAGTAAAATACAGTTCTTGGTTTAAAACAACCACAACCCTACATCACTAGCAAAAAATTATTTTATGTATAATTTAAAATTTCCTTTACAAAGTTAGTCAAGTCTATAAAAACCAACATGCATGGGATAGCGATATTGCTTTTTGCCAATTAAAACCTGATTTGTTTGGCCAGTTGTACAGAATTATGGTTGATTGAAACAAGAAATAGTACGAGGTGGTTTTTTAATCAAGGGTACAACCCCCTACCCCCGTATGCCCCCGTATGTTGTGTGTATAGTTCACATGTATGCTGCAGCAAGGCTCCTCACCGCTTACTGACTTTATTTGTGAACAGAATGGCGCCATTTGCATCTCTGTAGCTGATGTGTCCACTTTGCTGTGTGTCTAGAACATTTTTTAAATTATTGAATCTCCCGCTGCATGCGATTTAAGGTTGGTGATATTTTGTTTACTGCAAGCAACATTATTGGTTGCAGACATTCATCGCCAAGTTTATAGCCCTAATGCAATGAGTGGTAAAGTGCAAAAAGATGTTAGGGGTTTAGGAAAATGTCCATTTTGGAAGGAATTGTGTTTTTGATGGGTACCCAGACTTATCACATAAGATCATAAAGGAAAAGGGTTTTCACAGCCATTGGTACACTCCCTAACCCATTTCTGAACTTTACTCTCACTCATTGCATTAGGACCATAACTTTTAGATATCTGGCGATTAATGTCGGCATCGGATATGTTTCTTGTGGTAAAAAACTTTATCACTTACTTAATCTCGCATGTAGCGGGAGATTCAATATTTTAAAAAAACTTTCTAAACCCACAGCAAAGCGTACATGTCAGCTACGGAGCTGTAAACGGTTCCATTCTGTTCACCAATGATGAGTAAATGGTGAGCCACCTTGTTGCGGTGTACATGCGAAATACAGAGCTATACGCAAAAACGACTCTCCTATTCAGTTGAACCTCTATCAACCCGTGGTCCTGCAGGCGACGTTTACAGAGGTTTTACTGTAAAGTTATAATTAACATAACACACACTAACTCACTAAATACACACAAAACACCAGTCACGTTGTTCAAGAACTTACAGCATCAGACACTGTTGGGAACATAGTTTCCTCTGGATATTGAAGAAAGAATTCGGCCCTCCTCAACTGTTCATATACATGACCTGAAACAACACGTTTATTTGAGAACACAATCAAGTTTCCACTGTTTCCAGTCTGCATGGGTAAATGTAATACTTAAAATAATTGGAATATCTAAAAGAGCTCTTAACTGGTTTTCTTCCTATTTTACAAATAGATCTCAATTTGTGGAAATTAACCATTTGACAAATCATAATAGAATCATCAAATCATCATCAACTTATCAACCAATTAAATTTGGGGTCCCACAAGGTTAAATTTTGGGGCCTTTGCTTTTTTGTGTTACCTTAAGGGCATGGAAGATAATTTAACCTACAAGCAAAATTCTATATTATGTCTTTACGCTGATGATTCTAATTTTATTGTATCATCTAACTCTCCAGAAGAAACTGAAATTTTTACATATGTATAGAGAATATTGGAAACTATTTATACAATCATAACTTATTATTAAATTCACAAAAAACCAAATTTATAAATTTCAGAACAGCTCAGAACAAAATTACAAAAGAGCCAACAATAACTTACAACTCAAATAACATTCAAAAGGAAAATCTGATCAACTTTCTGGGTTTAACAATAGATGAAAATTTGAATTGGGATAAACACACACAGAAAGTTTTGACCAAAACTAACTCCGGAATTTATGCATTGTCAAATAGGTCCTTTTATTGTAATTTGAAACCGTAAAAAGTATATATTTTGCTCACATCCACGCTCATCTTTAATTCGGTTTAGCTTTATATGGGTCAACAAAAAAATTTTATATGGATAGCATTATGAAGCGGCAAAAAGAGGCTATCAGAATTATGTTTAAGCTTAAGCGAGATAATTCGGCAAAAGAACATTTTAAGAAATTACTAATTTTTACAGTTTATGGGCAATATATTTATGAAACAATTCTTATTGCCAAAAAAAATTAATCTGAGCAAGTAATAAATTCAGTACATTCTTATAATTTCAGGAGGAGAAGAGGGTTCGTCCAGCCTCACAAATTAAAATTTTTTGAAAAAAAACCCTCATACGCTGGTAACGAGTTTCTAAAATTTTTCCCTGAATTGATAAAAAAAGAAACAAACTTATCTAAATTCAAGAAAATTCGAAAAGATTATTTAATCAATTTAGCATTATATTCTTTTGAGGAGTTTTCCACCTCACATACATAGAAATAGTATTTTTATTTTAAGTATTCTGACACTATTCACTGTACCACCAATACATGATTTATGATGAATAAAGATGTTTGAATATGAATATGAATATGTACGTGTATATTGTAAACTTCACTAAGAACATTTGAAAACCGTAAAAATTAATTAAAATTAAAATTAAGTAAACTGTGATGTTAATGAATTTACTTACTTGAGCAGCTTGCGAGAATGAGGGTTATGTTCTTTAGTTGAAGGTCCGTCTTCAAGGCTAAAAAGGCCATTGTTGATGCTGGATCAATAAATGTTACGGAGGACATATCAATGACAAGTTTTGTAATCTGAAAAAATACAAGTTTTAAAGTATACTACATGAATAGAGGGGCTGTAATTTCTTAAACGCTACATTGATTGGGTGCAAGACAACCTTAAAATAGAATCAACAAACACTGTTAATGAATGCACAATTATTGGTGATCATTCCAAATTTCCTGGTTTCAGATAAAATTCACGTACAATAACTTACAGACTTTTTCCCGGTCACCAAAATGTGCGTACATAATTCCCAGATTTCGGATAGAAACCCTGGTTAGTATTTCAGAGCATTATTAATTAGCCCTGTACCGTATTTTAAATTCGCTCGCTGAGGTACCAAGGCTCTTCCTACTTGAGTAGTGGATTAGGCAGCAGGTCAGCTTCCTGCATATGTCACCAATTTGGATACGCTTTGCGGCATCTCGTAAGGACACCCGGTCAAAGCGATTAGGTCCATAAGTGAACCTTATGGCAGAATTGCCATATCCTCCTTATATCAGGAAACATTGGCTAGGAGGACCAAGGACCGCTCGAGATCCGTTTTGGGATGTTCTGGCAGTGGAGTTTTAAATCTGCTAAAACCTTTTGTTCTAGCACGTTGAACTGCAAAAGTGACGTGGTCAGAAAAAGAGAGGTCTTTGTCAAGAACAACACCAAGGGTGGGATTTAAATTTAATTTGATTTGGGCTCCAATCAGTCTATTAGAATAAACGAATCAAACTTTAGGTTAAACACACCGTCAAGATTAAAACAACGTTTAGATCACACATAGAATAATAACCTATTAGATCTGTTTAATATAATTTTTTGGGGAAATGATTTTACACTTATCCTTGGCTCAGTCTACCATAACTAAACATTCCACAACCAAGGCACCCAATGAATATGGGGAGTTTGAATTCCGATGCTGCCTCAAATAATGTTTTGTATTGTACCCACTTACTCCTTCCCTTCATTGATACAGTTCACAAATACAGGCCTTAATGATGGACAGGTAAACTAGTGAATTGTTATCTAACTTCTCTATTACTGCTCTATACTGAATAGTAAGTACTCACTGGACTCTCAGGTGCTGTAGCGGCAATACTTTTCTTCAGCACCTTGTCAATTTTTCTCCTCACATTTGACTTGTTAGCAAAGTGAAGGCCGCCACAAATTCGGATAATCAGTGTATTTGGAATTGGGATTACCTGAAAACCCCTTTTTGTTAAAGTAATTTGCACATATGTTAACTAATCTTAGTATCTAAACAATATCAATATGTTATCAGGTAAAAGTAAAAGTGTAGGGAACCCTCATTCAAACTTTATAGCCTGGCCTACATCCAAATAATAACGGAGCAATGAGTCTAAAATAAAATACCCCCGCCGCAGCAAACCTGCCGACTAAGCGAATTTCCAATTGTCTGAATTAACTTTTAATTAAATATATTTAAAAGACATTAGGTTTAATGAGTACCTAGGTTAGCTGCGACAAAGAAACTTATAAAGTGTATTTTTTAGTAAAATATTAATAGCTTAGTATAAAATAAATAAATGTGCAAAGTTTGATCAAAATATATATATCCATAAACAAGCAAACTACAACATTTTACAATATTCACCATAAGAATAACATGGGAATTTTAAATTTACAATTTTTGTATTTTCTCCGTTAACCCTCCGAGTGTCCATAGTTTAGGCCTTAATGTCCGCCTATTTTGGCGCATTTGCAAGGTTTTATTAAAACGGATCTGAGAAGCTTAAAACAATGTTAATTCTACTGTTCTATGTACCATTTTGTTTGGAAAATCATGGGCTTCAATATTATACATAAAAAAACATAAGGAACATTTGTTTCAAAAAAATTTTTTAGGTAAAAAAAAATATTTTGGAAAATTTTCAAAAAAAAATAAGTTCGCGCTCAATGAAATTGTATAAATCTAAGGCCTATAAATATTTGAAAATAACCACTTTGTTCTAAATTTTATGAGGATTACAAATATATAATAATATAAGGAAGTAGATTTGCAAATAAATAAGTTATGGGCAAAAAACAGATTTCAGTACATAGCGTTTAGCTAAGAATGCATAGCCTAACCATAGCTAGGAATCTGGCTGATAATTTACATCAATATCACTACCTACTTCTTCAGGATCATCAACCAGCCCTTCAAAATCACTTAAATCTTCTTATAATGCACCACGTATATCACTACTTTTGATTTTTAACATAAAACAATGATAAACGTAATAAAACACATCAGTCATCGGTCCGAGGTTAACCAAGCTGTTTACAAATACGCACGTCAGCTGTCTGCTACAATATTTTCGGAACTAAAATGAATAGCGCTTAGAGACAGACCTCCGTAGAAAGCTCTGAATCTAACAAAAAGAACGATACCTAACTCGATCCAGTTCAATCCGATTCAGTCAGTCATAGAGCCTTCGCCGTAAACGATGTTCGTATGTCGAAAAATCGACAAGTGACACTACACAAAGTGTGTCGTGAGTCGATTTTTCGACAAGTGACGCTCGGAGGGTTAATACCGTTTCTTGCTAAAACTTGCCCTTTGAAAACAGTTAGAGTCAAAAGTGTTTAGAATATAATAAACTACGAGACATGCAATCTAGTTAGAGGTTAGTTCTAAAGCAGTGATTACCTTGCAGGGAATGTTTATCTATAGTGAGTGTGTAGCTCAGTTAGTATCTATAGACAATAGACTGTTTCCTTTTATTTGTAATTTCATTAAGAAATACAATGGTGTCACAAAAATCCAGAATGTTTAACATTTAGATTGTTTGACAGTTTACATTTTCTTTGTATTGAAAGTTCATAATTGGTCAAAAAATTCCTCAAGGGAGTACACCGGTCGGTCCACAAGCCAGTCCCAGAGTTGCTGTTTGAGTTGGTTTCCTTCTTGAGGTTGTTTGGAAGAGAATTGATGATTTTACTGCCAATTTAAGAGGGGTTTCTGGTGTATTGTGTAGTGTGGTGGATCGTTAGGCTGTAGTCGGCTGCTCTTCTGGTGTGGTAAGAGTGAAAACTCTCATTTCTGGGAAGGTTAAGTTTTTTTGTATACAGGACAACTCCATGGATGTAGAGTGCTGTCAATGTTAGAAGCTTAAGAGACCTGCAGCTGTCTAAGCGCTCAAGGCCGGAGAGTGCCCTGACAGCTTTTTTCTGGAGCACCAGGACTTTGTTGAGGTTTGCCTCTGATGCCCCCCCCCCCCCAAAGATATTAAGCCATACCTTACATGTGATTCTATTACAGCATACTATGCTGTCTTAGCCGTTTCCAGACCTCCTATCCATTTCATCATCTTTGTTACATAGACCCCAGATGCAAGTTTCTTGGTCAGGTTGTGTATGTGGTCGTTCCAGGAGAGGTCTTCATCAATTGTCAGGACAAGCAGTTTTGAGTTATTTTCAACGGTTATTTCAGGAATTTCTTGGATTTCTCCTGGTAGTGGAGTGGATACTTGAAGTGGGAGTGTGATTTGTTAGTATCCCTCCTGGGACTGGATACCCATATAGAGAGCGTGGCTCAGTTAGTACCTCTACTGGGAGTGGAGTGGATACCTGTAGTAAAGCCTAGTCCACACATGGAGACTGAGTCGGCCGACTGTCTGCGCACAGTTGGCAGACAGTCGACCGATCGTCTGCCGACAGTCTGTCAACACAGTTTCGGATTCAAGTTTCCGATGTGTTTTGCGTCCACACTAGCCAGCCAGTGTTTCTGTGTTTTTTTGGTATGGCAACCGAGGAGGACGTAATTATCTCCTGTGCGGGCTTCAGAACCATGGGGCTAAGAACCTAGACATAGACAATGAGGGACCCATTGGAAAACATTTTCTCGAACAAGGTTCGTACTATGGTCACAATCTTCCATCAAACCTTCAGATTAGGTGAAGGATTTAGGAACTTCACTAGGTTGATTTCTAAAGATTTTGAACTTTTGCTGGGCTTTGTTGGTCCTAAAATTTTAAACTTGAAGAGATGAATAATTCAATAAAATGTCATGTCATAATATAAATTATTGAAAAGAAATTCCAAAACTTTCAAGAAACTCAATCCAGCTCTTTTGATACCGTCCAAAAATCGTCATATTACCGCTTTGCAGTCCAACTAAATGGGCTGATTGTTGAACACCTTCGGCTTGTACCCAGTCTCTTGTCTCCAGACACGTCCACACATGCAGACTTTGTCTCTTGTCTCCGTGTTTCCCATTCGAACGGGAAACAGAAAACACTGTATTTTGTCTCCAGAAACACCAAAATTTGACTGTCAACAGTTGGCAGACAGTCGGCGGACAATTTCAATTCGATTCAATTCGTTTTATCGTAAGAGCCAGAAACCCTCCGATTACAAACCCGGTACCTATAATTAAACACACCCGGGCCCCATGATGTAGGCCGAAGCAAATGCACCAACCTTTGGCACATCATGGGAGGATGACTTAAGGTCATCAGGCTCACCGGCTGCCGAAGCAACCCCTCGGAGAGAGGGTTTCCCCTCAATCCTAACCAGGGATACCGGCTACTTGTTTAAGCGTCACTCCACCTAGAATCCACCTGGTACGAAACCCTGAAGAATCGCAATGGAGCGCCCTGACGCATTTAGTGCAAGCAAAACTCGGGACCTATCCAATCCCTGACAGGCCAAGACCCGCCATCAAAGCCAGGAGGAAGGGGACCATCAGCAAGCTGATGGGGGGAACCGCAACCCTAGCTCCTTTCCCTAGGAGTGGAAAGGATACTTGTAGTGAGAGTGTGATTCAGTTAGTATATTTCTGGAAGTAGATACCAAAAATGAGAGTGGTGCAGTATCTTTCCTAAGAGTGGATGATCGTGGTGAGATCACAACTCAGTTAGTATATTTCAGGGAGTATATGAGAGTAATGAGATTATGGCTCAGTTGTTATTTGTCAACCAGTAGAACTTATTTTTGGGCATATGTCTGTGAGTTTACGTTCTCTTATTTGTTGTTGTATTTAAAGCGAGATGCAAATTTGAGTTTTGTTACTGACTTTGTTTAATCTAAGTTTGGGTTACTTAATTCAGTAAATATCTATGGATGAATAAATGAATAATTACCTTATTATATCTATCACTTTCAAGAAACAAGTCTGTATTTGGTAGTTTGCCAAGCTTGTTGACATAGGGGGATTGGCTCATCATTATTATCACAACAAGAGACACGATGATTCCAAGTACCAGCCCAACATCAACATCAATCAAGATAACGGCGAAGAAGGTGATCAACCAAATAGCTCCATCCCTTCGGGAACGTCGCCACGCTGGTGGGAAATCTTTCACCTGCTTCAGCATACCTTTCAGTGCGAATAATATAATTCCTGCTAGAACACACTGCAACAAACGTACAACCTTGATATAGAGATTACAACCACCTGGACTATAGACCTACATTTATTTTTTTAAGTTAGAATTTCAATTTGGTGATAACCATATACATGACCATTCACAGGATAGTGACCATCAACAGCCAACCAATATCATGCAATATACAGTGTGATTGAAAATCCCGGAACTGTGTAATATATATTATACTACTATAAAGGAATGAAACTTGGTAAATGAATTATAGCTATAATAGTGCAGTAAAAATAAGAGAAAAATTAAATAAACCTAAAAAAAATTAGCACAACCGGGGAATTTTGTACAGATGTTGGGTGTACCTTCCTTTTGAACATACTAAAAGTCCCCTAAAATTGAAGCTGTGCTACGGCCGCCATATTGGAAAATGGCGGCATATTTCTATATTTTTCGCTATAGTGACTTTATTATTAGAGATACAGGAAAAAGCTAAATATACAAAATGTAGGTCATTTAAAAATACACATTTTTTGTATTTACCATCTTTCTCTAAACCCAACGGATTTTGAGTTATTTGTTATTAAGTATATTTAGTTTTTTCTATTTATCAAAAATAGGTGAAACACATGGAAATTGACCGTTACTTTCAAGGATTATGATAATTTATCCCATTTAGTTAAATAGTGTGATACTATAAAATCTTAAAATTTTAGCTTATTTTATGAGTAAAACAACTCTGCCCCATCAAACCTGCAGACTCAGCAAATTTCCATTTGATTGGATGTTTTATTAAATGTATTTAAATAAAATTAGATTCAACAGGTACCTAGGTTTGCTGCTACAGGTAGGTTATTATAGTGTGTTTTTTTTTTAGTAAAATATCAATAACTTCGTATAAAATAATTAATTTTCCAAGTTTGATCATAATAAATCTATAAACAAACAAACTGCAACAGTTAACTAATTCATAATAGTAGCATGGTAGCTTAAGATTTACAATTTACAAATTTAAATATACAAATTTTGGTTGTGTTTACTAAAAATATGGCGATTATTCATCACGTTTCGAATACTAATCGAAGCAAGTAATTTAAGTACTGTAATATTAACTCGTACCAAGTATCGGAAATATTGTATGCAGTGAGGAAATCAACCATATTTTGTAAACTACGCAATAGTCATATTAATATTTTATACTCATTGTTACCCATTTAATAAATTAACATTTTAGTATTTTTATGGCACTACCACTATCACTCTGATATCAACTAATTGGGATGAATAATTGTCGTAAACCTTTAAAGTAACCGTCGATTGCGATGGGTTTCGCCGATTTTTGATAAATAAAACTAACTATACTATACCATACTTAATTAGTCACCAACATGAACTAGACACGAAAAACACCCTTCCAAATTTACAATGGGATGTCAAGTATAGTTAGTTAGTGTGGTGGTGCCATCAAAATACTAAAATGTTAACTATTAAATGGGTAAAAAAATGAAGATAAAATATTAATATGACTATTGCGTACTTTACAAAATATGGTAGATTACCTTACTGCATACAATATTTTCGGTGCTTGGTACGAATTAATATTACTTAAATAACAGGCTCCATCTCCTTTTGAAAACTCATTTGGTTAATATTCTAATCGTGACGAATAATCGCCATCTTTTTAGTAAACACAACCAAAATTTGTATATTCAAATTTGTTTATTGTAAATTTAAAACTCCCATGCTATTCTTATGAATTAGTTAACTGTTGCAGTTTGCTTGTTTATACATATATGTTGATCAAACTTGGAAAATTAGTTATTTTATAGTAAGGTATTGATATTTTACTAAAAAAAACACACTATAATAGCATACGTGTATCAGCAAGCCTAGGTACCTGTTGAACCTAATTTTATTTATATACATTTTTAATAAAACATCTGATCAAATGGAAATTTGCTGAGTCTGCAGGTTTGCTGTGGCAGAGTTGTTTTACTCATAAAATAAGCTTAAATTTTTAGATTTTATAGTATCACACTATTTAACTAAATATGATAAATTATCATAATCCTTGAAAGTAACGGTCAATTTCCATGTGTTTCACCTATTTTTGATAAATAGAAAAAACTAAATATACTTAATAACAAATAACTCAAAAACCGCTGGGTTTAGAGAAAGATGGTAAATACAAAAAATGTGTATTTTTAGATGACCTACATTTTGTACATTTAGCTTTTTCCTGTATCTCTAATAATAAAGTTACTATAGCGAAAAATACAGAAATATGCCGCCATTTTCCAATATGGCGGCCGTAGCACAGCTTCAATTTTAGGGGACTTTTAGTATGTTCAAAAGGAAGGTACACCCAACATCTGTACCAAATTCCCCGGTTGTGCTAATTTTTTTTGGGTCAAAACATATTTTTACTGTACTATAAATGTCTACTCTTTCAAGCTATTATTACTTTTTTGTCCCTTAAGGGGGGCCCATGAGGAGTCAGACAAAATTCTTAAATAGCAGCATAGGTTGAGTTTGCTATCAGATTAAAGGTCTACGTTAGTAAAACACAATGCCACAAACGCGAAGTCAAACGGACAATCGAGTCAAAAACGACAGCTGCTCAAACATTCCTTGAATTTGCAACGCTTATTATACTGTGGGGTGCCAACTAGAAGTCAGAGGAAAATCATAAACGTAAGAATAGGTCGATATGCACATCACAATAAAGGTCTTAATTAGTAGAATACAATGCCGCAAATTTTAGCTCAAAATAACAACTGGGTAAAAAATGGCAGCCGTTCAAAGATTCAAAATGGCAGATTCAAGAAATATTTGAACGGCTGCCATTTTTGACTTGGTTATCCGTTTGAGTTCGGGTTTACGCCAATGTGTTTTACTAAATAAGACCTTTAATTTGATACCAAAGTTGACCTATGCTGCTATTTGAAAATTCTGTCTTACTCCTTATGGGACCCCTTAGAAGGTAAAAATGTAATAATAGCTTGAAAGAGTAGACATTTATGTTTATTTTTGATATACTAAGTTTTATTACTTCATCTATAATAGTATAAAATATATTACACCGTTCCGGGACTTTTCAATCACACTGTATACGTAATAGTTGTACTAATTTTAGCACTAAGAGGTGCAAAAGATGTAGTCAAAATGTTATCATAGGATAAACAATAACACAAAATATAGCCTACAAGACACAATTTCAGGTACTAGCATTTAAATCGCTATTAATTGGTCACATTTTCATAGATATATTACTATTGGAAATTCTTTAAGTAAAAAGAAAGGTCAACTCTAACTGAAATCAATCCGATCTTAATGATCCGAAATTTGCCGGTTTGACACATTTGGTAATCCGACAAGCTTTCAATGATCATAATTCAGATATAGCGTGGTTATTGAACCTCTTGCTAGGCAGAAAAATGTTAACTGTACAGTGGAGCATTTTGATGCTGTGTCGGCTGGTGCTATCCTTATACAAGATAGTGAAGAACGTGGTGATTAATAACATGAACACGATTGACGATGATTGTAAAATCAAAAAAAGTCAGAAAGGGTTGTCATAGAACCTTTAGTAAAGAAGAAGCAAAAAACACTTGTGTTTATTTATTTATTTGCTACCAACAGTCCAAACAAAACAATTTACAATTTTGACATTAAAAATTCATTATCAATATGACTTTATTAAAGTCATCTTGATAATGAATTGTTAATGTAAAAAAAAACATGTTTAGCTTGACCCTTAGTTAAATTAACTAAGGGTCAAGCTAAACATGTTTTTTTTTTCAATAAAGTCTACATGCAGCACTGTACATGTTAATAATAGGCTATTCCTTTAAAATATTGTAAATATCATAACACAATTACATTATACAGGGTGTTTTTAAAAGAATTCCGGGATTTTAAATTTATATTTCTCCGGTACTATTCAAAGTAACTAAACGTTTTATACATCAAAATAAAGCTAAAATAACCAAGTTTTGTGTGCCATGTAGCAAGGCAGGAAACATTGACCTTGACATGCGCAAACCAGATGCGTGGTGATAGGCTGTTATTGCGACTCACACGCCCCGCCTCCCGCCAGTAGCCGGTACGATGTTTACGGCGCAACAAAAGGCGCAGTGTGTTCTGTGGTTCGCAGAGTTTAAATTGATTGTAAGTGTGCAGCGTCAGTTTCGAATAAAGTATCCAGGGGAAAAGTCACCGGACGATAAAGCAATTCGTCGATGGTTTAACCAGTTTCGTGAGACAGGAAGTGTTTTGAAAGGACATTCACCAGGCCGGCCAAAAACAAGTGATGACAAAGTTGAATCAATCCGACAGTCATGCTTTAGAAGCCCAAAAACCTCACTTGCTCGACGAAGTCTACAGTTAAACGTGCCTAAATCGACACTACACACCGTAATTCGTAAGAGATTGAGACTTCGTGCGTACAAAATTCAATTGAGACATCACATAAAACCAGCCGATCGCCCTAAGCGTACAGACTTTGCTAGATTTATGCTCAATGAGATCGATAACAATCCAAATTTTATTAAAAGAGTGCTGTTCTCAGACGAAGCTTCATTTCACATAAGTGGCGTTGTTAATCGTCATAATTGTCGCAATCGGGGTTTGGAACAACCTAACATTGTACAAGAACATGTGCGCGATTCGCCAAAAGTAAACGTTTGGTGTGGATTAATGTATGACCAAGTGATAGGGTCTTTCTTTTTTGCCGAAAAAACAATCAACGGCATTGTTTATTTAGATATGCTAGAACATTTTTTGTTTCCTCAAATAGACGATATTGAAGAACGAGCTGGTGTACGAGTCATTTTTATGCAAGATGGTGCCCCGCCTCATTACCGTAATGAAGTGTGCGATACACTTAACAACAAGTTTACAAATGGTTGGATAGGAAGGGGCGCGCCTATTGCCTGGCCTCCAAGAAGTCCCGATTTGACCCCTTCGGACTTTTTCTTGTCGGGCTACATAAACAACATTGTTTTCAAATACAGTCATAAATTGAGCTAAAGATGTTTTATATTTTTTTAATGACTTACGTGAGGAAGTGTCTCAAAGGAAGGTCCAATGAAAATCAGAACCAGGGCGATACAAGCACAGGAGACTAAACTGGCGACCTGAGTTTTGCCCCCGACTCCATGTTGTATGAGACTTCGAGACAGCGAGGCAGCGAATGGAAGGCACGAAAAGAATGATCCTACGATGTTACCCACTCCCTGTAATACCACAGAGCTTAGAATTTATTATTAGTCTATTCTGGATTAAAAAAGATAATGGAAAATAATAAAACCTTTGGAACTTGTGTTTTAGAACTAAAAACTAGTTGATTAGTTTGAAGTACAGTAGACTCCCTCTTATCCGGACTCCTCAGAAACGTGGACAGTCCCGATAACAGATTTGCCGGTTAAAACGACGTTCTCTAAAACTCGTTAAATAAAGAACGTCTAATCCATACTGTATGATGATTATTACGTTAAAAAAAATAGTAAAACTAGACACTTTTGTATAATTAATGTAAACACAAAACACCAGATGAAACGTGATCACAGGTAGAGCCCTCCTCCTTAGTCACCGCTCGTTCGATGGAGTCCCAGAGTGTACTTCCATGTGTCACCTATGGTGTTGTTGTTTTTGTTTGCTATATATTTTTATAAATATGTTAAGTAAGAGTTTTTACTGATTTGCACAATTTTATTGATTATACATGGTTTTGATACCTTTTTGTATTATTATATAAAACTAAAATGTTTGTCTAATGTTTCCATACCCGGCAAAAAACTTCTTGTGCCGCCGATCGTTTTTTTTTTTTATTTAAAGACAACCATTAAGGTATAAGTTTCCTTTTACTTCAAAGTCTGCAGTACTGTAAACTGTCATCTTATATGTCTATCAGAAAGCAGCCAACAGATTACTTAGTGAGCGGATCATTGCATCGTCTACAAAATAAACAATAATTCTTAAAATAATGCTCTGATCTAAAACCAAGCAATATTACTTTTCAATTTATCAGAGGTTGCTAATACTCACCTAAAACAAAAAATTGTGTAATAGTATGTTATATTAATTTATATATTGCCGAGTGATCCAGCTCTTGTAGTTAGACTACCATGGTTTCGAAGACTTTATGCCTTCATTACCAAATCTACATGAACATTAAGTGTCATTAATCCTCTTCAACTTGGACAATTTGAAGATAAGTCGTACAAAAGACGCAACAAAAACGAACGAAAATATAAAAAAGATAGCGTGGCCACAATTAAAAAACAAGTCGAACAACTCCTGCGTGTAGCCAGCGTAAGTACGGAAGTAAACATGTCCTGCGTTGTTACCCAATGTCATGACCATCCGCCGGCTACACACAAACGTTGTTAGACTTGTTTTTTAATCAGCTGCTCTTTTATTTGGACTGTTATCACTTCCTATGATATATTACAATGTTTATGCTGAAATAGATAACAGTGGAAGAGGAGCAACTGCGTCACAACGCAGGACACGTCACCCAGTGTCATAACTGTACTTACGCTGGCTAGACGTACGCGTTGTCCCCATTGTTTTTTAATTGTGGCCACGCTACCTTTTAAGTGTTTTGAAGGTTTTTGTGTCTTTGTGTTACGAGTTTTGTATGACGGATCTACATACCGTCTAGGTTGAAGAGGATTAATGACGCTTAATTTTCACGTAGACTTGACAATGAAGACATAAAGCCTTTGAAATCGTGGTAGTCTAACTACAAGGACAGGATCACGTGGCGTACAAATTTTACCGATACTATTGCAATAATCATAGTGATATAGAGGCTAAGCTGCAACAAAATTTCACTTTAATTTGAGGTGAAGGACGATATAATAGAAGTTTATGATAAAATAATCATCTAAAATTTAACAGCTGTATTAGAGGTTAAATATAAAACTTCATAATCTTACAGAGGCAATCAATTCTTGGTTGGCGTCCACTTTGTAATGTTCTTTCTTGGCAAATAAGGTAGCCATCGAAATGTTAATGGAAAAGGCAACGATGGCAATGACCAACCCGTCGATGCCCACATCTAGGATTAACCGGACAGGTGGCATTGCAGGCGTTGGTAACCTGAAAAACAAAACGCATAACATTACGACAAATCATCAATAAGAAGTTGACATCTATGAAATAAAATAACTTTACAGCGACAGGGTTGGTATTTTTTTATTTGATTGATACAATTTGAAATAGTGTACTACGTGACTCACTGTTGATAAAACTCTATGAAAATCTCTTTTTTCCATTGAAATAAGCAATAAGTACCTACAAAAGAAATTTGCCTGTATAATCCATAATACATGTGTGTAACTTTTTTTACAGTAGATTTAGAGACCCAAAACTCTTAAGTATTCTTGCCCTGCTACGAAGCACAGGCAAAACAACTAGTATTTAATCAAAAATCCAACAAGGCAAATTGAAATTCTGTTAGTTTGCAGGTTTACTGTAGCGGGGATATTATTTATATGAAATGAAGGGTTGAGATTTACCCAGTAGGAATCAGTCCAATGGTGGATAAATTGTAAGTGTCTTGGAGGTTGAAGTAGTATGACACGAAGGTTCCTATCATGATCACTATCAACTCCATTGGCACCACATTTCTCAGAAAGGGATGAAGTTTAGGCTGTAAGAAAACAATTTGATGTTAGTGTTAATAGTATATTTTATTACTAGGGCTTGTGGTGATTCTTTTCTACACAAGTTTAACTTGAACAGAAAATGAGCAAGGGTCGAAAAGACACTTTTGGCTTGTGTGTTAAACAATATATTTTTCCTACAGTTACCTAACATTGTACATGTTCTCTCACTGATTTGAGAAAGCAAAGTGGCCAATTCGCTCATCAGTGAGACAATGTTTACATTGTCTCACTCTAATTACTTTGTCTCACTCCAGATTTGCAATGTGAAGGCACGAAATAGTGAGCGCGTAACATGCAGGCAACGTCGTATGCGCGCGAAGTACGTTGGCAGCACTGGCTGTAAATCAGCTGGTCAGCTGTTGTACTGTTGTATTTGTCACTTCACATTAAATGTTTTATTAAAAGTTCACTTCTGTGTAAAAATAGGTTATGTTTCTTCACCAATTTATTTGTTTTATGGTAACTGTAGGAAAAGTATAATGTGCAACTCGAGTTCAAAGTACAATTGTCTCACGCGAGAAACCATTCCTCACTCGCCTACGGCTCGTGAGTAAGGATTTCTCTCGAGTGAGTCAATTGCTCACTTTTCTCACTAGTTGCACAAATAACTATTGTTATACTGCTAACTTTACTTGTTGTCATTAAGCTACCAAATACAAAAAAACAAATATTTTTTAGTCTGTTTGTTACCTTTAGGAAAAAGTTAAATGCAACTGTTATTATTACTTCACAAAATTTAAGTGTACCTAAATTGCTGAAAGTTTTGTAATTTTAATTTATATAATCTTTTATCACTTGTCAATCACAAATATAAGATGAAAGATCTCACATCAATGACACTGTTGAAAACTGAATCTAGATGGGCGTAGTGAAACTGCCCCGACGTTTTGGGTACTTTTGAAACGATGAAACTGCCCCGCTCATTAAAAAGGATTAGCAAGGGTCACCTCGCAAGACTCTAAATGCTGAAATTGCCTCGAGCACCCGGCCAAGTAGTCGCTACAGGACTGGGGATAAAAGGGAATTATTTTTGTCCCTGTGTCCTGTCAGTGACAGCAGTCTTCTAACTGCCACCGACTGCTTTTCCTGCCAAGCCACAATTGTTTCTGTACCAATACCTAACCCAATATAACCTAAACTAACCTCACCTAACCTAACCTAACCCAACCTAACATAACCTAACCTTTAAAAAGCTATAAATTTCTGATATTGGTGGTAGTTATTAGAAGACTGAAGTCACTGACAGAACGCGGGGACAACAATAATTCCCTCTTTTTTGTTTCTGTACCGCTACCTAACCTAAAATAAGCTAGTAATTCCTGATATTGGAGGTAGTTATTAGAAGACTGCAGTCACTGACAGCACGCAGGGACAGCAACGATTTACTTTTCCCCAGACCCGTAGCGTGTACCTGGCGCGGGCGCTCGGGGAAATTTCAGCATTTCTGGTATGGCGAGGTGACCCTTCATGATGCTCTGTAATGAGCGGGGAAGTTTCATCATTTAAAACTTACCTAAAATATTGGGGCAGTTTCATCGTCCCCATCTAGATTGAGGTACAAAAGAAATGAAGATTAATACATTTAAGAAACGTTTACGAATACATTTTTTTAAATGTTCACACGAGTTCATTATTTTTAAATAGTGACTGAAAGATAGAGTTAAATATATTTTTTTACAATATTGTTTTTCTTCTTTACTTTCATTACTTTTTTACATTTTCGTAATAATTGTAGTACTGTAGGCCTACATCCTGATTCCATTCATTGTACATGACTTATGACTCATGAGTAGAGTATGGTTTGATTTGATTTGATAAAGTAATTTTCAAGAATGGATATAATGGTGGTATTTGTATTTTAATGATACATTGTGATCTTAAAGATAAGGAGATTCACTTACCTTTATGAATTGGAAGTATGTGATTAGCATCGCTATCACACTGAATGTCATGACGACAGCTAAGGGGTTAGTTTTGTCAATATTTTCGAACAAGTCCATGCATGTCTGAAAAACAAAGAGCAAAATGATAGGAAATCTTCCCTTCTTATATTGCTATGGTAGGTGTTGATTTTAGATCTTGCAATCAGAACAGTCAATGTTTACCATAGTGTAGAAATTTTGGAATATATCATTAAAATTGAATTTGAAAATCTCAGTATTGATTTTTTTTGTGGTTGGCGGTGCACACCTCTTTTAACCTTGCATTTGCCCGTCCACATATACTACAGATCTGTGCGTGGAACGTATCCAGCAAAGCAAGGGGTGAGCCGGTACGGTACAAAGGTGAACTGTTCTGATAAAATGTTTTCGGCAGTGACCAGGATCCGAACCCATCCTGGGGATCGCTACCTTGGGCCCGAAGTCCGTGACACTACCAACTGAGGCACCGACTCACCACTTTAAAAGTACTATAGATATAAAACTGCTCAGTTTATTTTAAAGTTTTGTTGACTAGACTGTAAATAAACTAAAGTTCAAATGTCACTTTATTTTATTCAACCAACATTTTTAATATCTATTGAATTTTGGGAAACTAAATTTGATGATCCTTAAAGTCTATATTGTAGAAATTTCTACTGAAAGTTACAACATATGGTGTGCTGGTGATAATTTCATTTTTCACTCAATTCCTTTTCAATCTAATACTTGTATATAAATTTTTTTTATTTATAAAAAAAGAGCTTGATGGCCTCTTTTACCTTGCATTTGCCCGTCCACATTAGCCACAGAGGCATGGAACGTATCCAGCAAAGCAAGGGGTGAGCCATTACAGTATAAGGGTGAACTGTACTGGTAAAATTAGTGGCAGGTACCAGGATCGGAACCCACAACATCGCCTGTGTTTGAGTGACACAAACACCTTACCTATTTAAGAACACAGGCAACAACAACAAAGGTAATCTAATATAATTCAATTGATTGAACCTGTGATAGCAAATAAAAAACATATGTTCGTTTTTTGTTTATAAATTTCAAATGTTAAGAATATTCAAAAATGTTTAATAACAGATTGTTGTCACGTCAATTGTTGCCATCATATTATTAATTCATTTGACCTTTATTTCCTTAACTTTATGAAACCATTTGGTGGTTATAAAACTATCAAACCAAGACCACTTTTAAAAGATTATGGTCAGCTCATTTCCTTACTTATTTCAAAGGGGGCTGTTTTTAGCTTTATAACCTTCTTCTCCAGATCAGGGTGTTTCAAATGTGGTGTGCAATAGCTACACTTCATCTATCGTTCATTAGATTTTACACTTTCAGAGTGACTTTTTTAGTGCTTCCAAACCAACTTGCTTGTCCTAAGAATACATTAATTATCAAATGATTACTCAGAAATGTATTTACTTTTTTAAATTCATTATGCACCTAATATTTTTGATCATGGTTTAATTATTTCACCAATTTCACCATTTGCTCTTGTTATTCCATTTCGCTCATATTTCACATACCTCCATTTTTTCTTCTTTCTATTTTTTTAAATAAGGATTTGTTTTGGTGCGACTACAGTCAACACACAGGCTTACCCATGCCGGCTTACTCCATAAAACTATGTACAATTTATTGACATATATGTTAAAAAAGGTTAATTTAATTTATTATTGATTAATTTAGCATTCATGTTTTTTGTTTTCTACATTTAGTTTTGCACATTTTTGTCAATCATTTTGTTGGAATAAACATATAATTAAGGGTGCGCTTTACCTCAGCTTGGAAATCTCAGCTCGGGCTTCAGTAGCTATGTTTCATCATTGGACAGCGCTGCGAGAAGCGCTTGCAGACGTTTCCAAGATTACTGTTTTAGAATTAACAAATAATGATAGCTACGCACTTCTAAACGGCTTATAGTAGTACAAAGACCAATCTATAATTCTGCGTTTTTCAAATGTTCAAAAAATGTTTTTTTCAACAAGTTAAGGCTAGTTGAAAAGACCCTTTTTTCTTGTACTACAACTCAAGTTTATAAGGTGTGTATTTTAAATAATTGAAATATAGAAACAAAGAACTATAGAAAATTTCATCCTCTTTAATATGAGACCTTAACTTTGATTCTACCTTCAATTTAGCAGGTAAAAAGAGAAATCTTGCAAACCCTTGCATTCGATTGCGCGTCAGGGGTAAAGCGCGCCCTTAATTCATTCATGTGTACAAAACTACAATTTTAGGAATGAACCAAAACTAACTTACATAAATGAGCTTCAGATGGCCGGACCGTCGGGGCAGCTTGATCCCAAACACGTGCTTTATCTGGGAACAAAACACCAAGACAGCTGCTCCCGTGGTGAACCCGCTGACCAATGTATCGGACATGAGCACACTCAATGAACCGAGTCTAAAAATTCCGAGTACTACCTGGCAAAACAAAGTATAAGACTAGAGTATATTTTTAACTACTAAGAGTAAATCTTTTTAATGAACTAAATGTTCATAATGTTAAATTTGGTAGGAAATGGTAAACACGGATCAGAAAATTGGATTTTAAGTAAACAAAAAAGATATAGTTTTTAAACAAAATATTGAGAAAATTTTACTTTTGACTTTTGAGGATGGACAATGGAGATTAAAGCATAATTGGGAACTGAGAGAATTATTTAAAGATTCAGATATTGACATTTAGATAAGGAGTAGAAGGATAAGGAGTAGAAGGATAAGGTGGGCGGGACATATGATAAGAAAAGAAGACAACTCTTTACCAAATAAAGTACTGGAGAACAACCCAGAAGGAAGAAGACCCCTTGGTAGACCAAACTGAGATGGTGGGACCAAGTAGAAAAGGACATAAGAAAACTGGGTAGAAGGAAGGACGCAAGATGCAGAGATGTACGGAGGCAATATGTTGGGAAGGCCAAGTACAATTTAGGGTACCAGTGGCCACAGCAGTAAGTAATCCAAAACCAGAAACATAAAAGATTATGTGCCACAAGGGTCTGTTTCGGGCCCTGTACTATTTCTGGTAGACTGGTACCTTTTTGTAATTTGGACACATTAAAATCAGTTTATTATTCGTTAATTCACTCACACATTCTTTATCGTATAGAAATGTATGACGCAACATCAATTATAAATCTACAAAGAATCCTACATGTTCAAAAAGTAGCATTTAGGACTATGCTTAAACTTCCTGATGATGCTCATTGTAGAGATCATTTTTGTAATCTGAAAATTAAGACCGTCTTTATTCTTTATATTTACAGTAGACTCCCTCTTAACCGGACACCTTTTAACCGGACATCGGTTTACCTGGACTACACTCAGCAGAAATGACATCTCTTTAACTGGACAATTTTTATCAGCACATCGGTTTAACCGGAGTGGATCGGCAGGAAGTGGGAGGTACAGAAACGACCGTTCTTGTGGGAAAGATGAGACCAGTAATCACGTGTCTGAATTCAATGCTCTCCTAAATTTAAGTCAACTACTGTATACAGTATGCATTTAAACGGTCCGTTTTAACAAATTTTTGAGAACGTCGGTTTAACCGGAAAAATCGCTATCCGGACTGGTCTCGGTCCCGAGTAGTCCGGATAAGAGGGAGTTTACTGTATACAGGGTTAGGCAAAAGTCTGGAACCCCCGAGTTAACTTTTTAACGCGTTGCAGTAGGAAAACCAAACTCGGCACATATTTACAACATAAAAAATCACACTTTTTCATCAAAGTTACAACTTTGCCCAAGCCCCCAAAATTAGGTATTTTGGGGGCAACCCCAAATTTTCAAACGCAAAGACCTATCATGTGGCCCGTCATTTTAAAGGGTTTATCAAGAGAAATTGAATGGCGCAAACCAGAGCTCAATATTGCACCCCTAACTGGGGGTGTCCAGACTTTATCTTGCTTGCTCACCTTAAATTGCCATTTTGATTAGGGGTGCGATATTGAGCTCTGGTTTGCGCCATTCAATTTCACATGATAGGTGTTTACATTTGAAAATTTGGGGCTGACCCCAAAATACCCCGTTTTGGGGGCTGGGGCAAAGTTGTAACTTTGATGAAAAAGTGCAATTTCTTATGTTGTAAATATGTGCCGAGTTTTGTTATCCTACTGCAACGCGTTAAAAAGTTAACTGGGGGGTTCCAGCCTTTTGCCTAACCCTGTAGAACAGTATTACATGTAAAAATAATGAGGAGACTTTGCCATGACAACGAAACATTCACACATATAATACAAGAAATCAGGAAAATGTTTAAATTAATAATTCTAAAAAAACAATTTTGAACAAAAATCCAACTGTTCCTGGGATAAAATAGTATAACTACCTTCCCAAAATAATAAAAGCCAAAAAAAGTGTAAAATGTTTTGAAAGGAAATTAAAAATATTTTTGGTGACCAAGGTGCTTTACAGTTTTGAGGAATTTTTCAGTTTTTAAGTTAATTTAAATTATTATTGGTTTATATAAAAATATTATCAGTTTTCTTTCTTGTCATTAAATATGATGTATAGTTCTGACTGCCATTCATGTATACTCTTGTATATTTTTGGATAAAGTATCTTTGAATTGAATTTAATTATGTAAGTAATATTAAATTTATTGTTTGCAAGTCCATTTTTGACACTGCAAATTTTTACTTGGTACTGTATGAATAAAGATATCAGACTAAAAAACTATGCGGTAGTAAAATTTGTGAGGATTAATTGATTTAATGACACATTCCTAATAGTAAAAACATGTTAGTTTACCTGCCATATGCCTACAACCAAACAAACAATGGTAGCCACCTCCAATGGTGTGTAGCTTTGTTCTGATAAGTCGGTATCGGTAGCTACTGGGTGATCAGGTGACGTAGAGTACTTCATCACTGGCTTACCAGCCATCATGCATACAATCGCAAATGTCCCTACGCAAAAACATACAAAATAGAACGATGAGCCAAATGGCAAAACGAGATTTCTAGAACTATGATTGGAGGGAAAGAATACGGGTGCGCCACAAGCCGGAGATGCATCACGGTGTGATAGGACGTCCTTGGGAAGGTCTCTGTATAAATCACGGTCTAAAATAATTTAAAGTAGCGGTGCTGGATGGTCAAATAAATTTTGGTTGTTTCCAATCATTTAAGCTTGTATCTCAAAGGGATACACTTGCAACACCTTAAAAAAGGGGGAAACGTGCTATAAAAGATACACCATTTGGGTGCAGCACTTGTAGTGTGTTGTTTGGGTTCAGTGTGATGAGGGGTCTGAGTTGGAAGAAGGTCAGACAGTAACAAGGTCCCCCAACAATCTCTGGGAATTATTTTATTTTACAAGGCCCACTTCAATTTTTGATTAACATCAAGCTTCTACTGCTATCCTATTAAAGCTATCTTATTGTTGACTGAATTCATTTACATTTAATTCTTCAAACCTAGGGGTAAATAACACTACATTTTATTATTTTAATAATTATAGTGTTATATACTGTATGTAGCCTACCTTTAAAATTTTATTTTCAGGTAGTTCAAAATTAACCATATTACTCATTACAAAAGAGATTGAAAACAAGACTTTTTTTGTGTGCCACCATCACATCCTAGGATTTAGGCTCTAGCCCAGTGCCGTTTTGCACATTACTTCAAGCTAAATCTATAGGGTTTACGCCATTTTCACTTAGGCTACGGCCACACTTGGAGACTTGGTCACCACAACATAGAATAAAAGTATGTTAAGTTAAAATTACGTGATTGGGGGGATTTGAACCTGGGATCTCAGAGACCAAAGTCTTGCGATCTACCACTAGACCAGCTTGTTCTTCCTGCATTTAATTTTCACTTAACATTATTATCAATAATTACCCATGGAAACATGCCGCGACGATCCCAGAAAGAAGTAAGCCAGGACAGGGAAAAATGCCATGTACAGGCCCACAATGGGCGGTACACCAGCAAGGCTAGAATAGGCCATCCCTAGAAAAAAGTCACAATAGAAAACTATTAAATTATACTGTTGACAAAATATCTAACTGATATACGGTATATATTTATATTTAAGGCAAAAATGTTGTTCAGAATGCATTTACAATTCTCTCCTAATAACCTCTTACACTTAGAGACTGGGAGGGTGTGAAATACCAAAAACATCACATCACCAAAAATAATGATAAATTCAATTTATAAATTACGTTCAACTCATGAAGCCTTTTTATGTACTCCTTCACTGTTTTAAGATCAAATTAATCAGTTTGTTCCATTTTGGTATCTAAAGCAATCTGGCTGTTAGGTGTGTACTGTATTCAGGGCAATAAAAAATGCTACAATAACCATACCTTGCAAAAAGTAACATACGTTAAACACAGTAGGACCACAATAACTCAAACCTTGATATCATGGTAGCTCAAAATGGTAAAAGTACCTTTATTTTTTAATATTAATCTTGATGAAGTTGAAGTTGAATTTCACCGTTTTGCAATCTATAATACTGAACCTCTTATTGCTAGAAGTTGTATCCCAAACAGTGTAGGTCAGCTGTGAGTCGAGACTCGGCAAGAGAGATGCTTGCATCATATTATATCCAGTTCGGTGTTTTAATAGTAGGCCTACATGTATTTCATGTTCGTTTTTTGTATGTGTTCGATTTTAAACTCTGACGTGACCACATGTGTCGAGAGTCCGAATAATCTTGTTGTCTGAGTGATGATCTTATCTAAGACTTAATAACTGGGTGACTAAAAACTGTTTGAGTGCAGTAGTCCGAGATAAATTCTACATTACAAGTAAGTACAAAACAAACCTTGCGGGATGTGCATAACAGCCACAGTAAATCCTGAAATAACATCAGATACAAAATCTTCTTTCACATTGTATTTTGGCAGCCAGTTTAACACAGGAAACACGTAAGTGAAACAACTCCAGATAGTCAAGTTGCTGGATCTTCTTAGATTTGATATTAAACCTGAAAACAAAAATAATTTTTAACAAACTCTCCAAAGGGAAGACCTAGGTCTAAGACCAGTGTACAGTGTGTGTGTGTGTGTGAGAGAGAGAGAGAGAGTGCCAACACACACATAGAGTGACAAGATTAATCAAAGCTTAAGATGCTCACATGACATTGATACATAAACAATTTTGATTAAACTAGGAAAAACAGTTTTAGAAGATCCTATTAGACACTGAAAAGGTAATTCTTCTATAGTAAATATTTTTTCAGCAGCTACCTGGCACTTCTAGCACTCCTTCCCTTCATCCAGACCCTTCCTGGTCCAATTTAATAAACCATTTCATAATTTCCAAATCCCCCAAAATATCATGGCTATTTCAATGTTTTTTAATAGTCCCATAAGAGTGAAAACCAATTAGAATAGTACATAAAGTAAGAATACGACGTTGGTCTCCAATTCAAAATAGCTCCATTGGCTGTGATGGAAGCTCGTCGGAGAGTTTAATTTATGAACAACTCTTGCATGTGTTAAAGAAAAAATCCTACCTGGTGGTTTCTTGATTGCGTATTCACAGTGTTGATTGAACGCTGGTTGGTTGCAGGGACGAATCAAAGGCTCGTCCTTAGTACCATTGACCAATGGAGCGCTGTCCATTTTTACAACACTGAAACATAGTAAATTTGCTCAGTTAAAATGAGAGATATAATTATAAATATCAATCAATTGTCAAACAAACACAAAAAAACAGTAAGTATACCCACTCGCGCCACATAAAGGATGGGTGAAATTAATATTCCACAAAATTATATATGCAGCTCAGAAAAATCCTTCCTATAAACTTACACTCAAACTGTCTACTTGGGCTTCTACGTTAGACAGGTTGATTGTCTATGAATTACACATTAAAATTATCATCAACACTGACGGATTTGAACCATGTAGAATTATTAGCGTTGTCTCTTAAAACATGGAACATCTTACGGTCCCTTTGTTCAGACCTATGTGGGTAAAATAACTTCTATATATTCATAGTATAGGTAATATATGAGTACACTTACTTTGTATTATAAATATTTTGAAATCATCTTGAACAAAGTAAGGCTGGAATGTGAATCCAAACACTGATAAAATGAAAAATATTTTAAATAAACTAGATAATAAATTCACACAACCAATCCGATGGTACCTACCTCACTGATAAATATTTTTCTCCAAAATTAACTAGGGAACATGTATTTAATTTATTGAACTTATGTGGAACAAATATTTGCTGCAGCTTATGCTGTTTATTATAACAATATAACTGTTTAGAAATTAAATTCAAAAATTATTTTACAAAAGTCATTTTCAAACAATTTTTAGAATTGTAATTCATGTAACAAATTTAGTTTTGGTTAGTAAAATTCTAACATCCAGTAATCTTAACAAAAACAAAAAATTACAATGATTACTTAATTAATTTACTCAAATTTACTACACAAAACCCAGAGTTTAAAAAATACTATACAGAACATAGAGAAAGAACACTTGAAATTAAACAAAGCATCTGTGATGCACAATCAGAGAAACTAACACATGTCATGCTGACATTTCATATCAATCCATTGCTGATTGGGAAGACTTAGTGATCAAACCAATTACAATGACACTCACAGCTGATGATATAGTAGAATCAGCTGTGTTTTAGAAAAATGTTCTTTTACAAATCCAACGAGTTTTATAATCATAGTAAAACTCTTTTTCTATAGAGGTTAATTTATCAACACCTTCAATAGTAACCAGTTTAACACATTTAATTAATCGTAATTTGAAAATGAATTAAGTTATTGAATCAGCATATGCAATTTTCATGGTAAAGTTCAAAATCACACAAAACCTTTACCTATATGTACACATTGGAGCATTGGCCTCTTATCAAATGGAGTATGGTTAGAAAATATCAACAACACTTATCTTTTCACAATCATCAGTGGGAAAAAATATAACAATGCAAGTTGTTACGATGACAACAATCGCATAAGAGGCAGTAAAAAAAAATGTCTTGTGCCATTATATTGAAAAATGTTAGTCACAATGGCCTACTCATTAAATCAATTTTTTTGTCAGAATTTGTTTAGCTACTAAACTCAGCTTATTGCTATGATATAGTAATTATTCACACATGTTAAGAATTTTTAAAAATCTGCTTGCTAAGTTGGAATTAAATATTAAAAGTATAATTATCAGTAAAAAATTAATGTAGCATCCTTGGCATTTGATTAAACAATTATAATTTAAGTACATACCTTTTAAATACTACAGAAAACAATCTTTGTCTATGGTATAAAAAGATTTTCTGTAAAAAGTGAAAATTGTAACAAAAATAATAATAATTTGTCTATGTTTATACTTTAACAAAATTAGTTGAAAATTGAGATCTTTGCACCTGTTTTATGCTCTCAGTGAAATGAAATTATATTCTTAATATTTTACCATACCAGGGCTGTTTTACTCAACAGTTGTTTATACATTATCAACTATCCACAGTTCACAGTTCATTCTTAATTTGTATGTATGACTTTCCATCAATTATTAACAACACAAACTAATAGTCCTAATCTAGATTGGTAAATTTGTACCCGCGGCTCGTCCTGTACCAACAACATGTTGTGCAAAATTATAAGAAGAAGTAAATAGCTAATGCCAGTCATGCTGAAATTGCATATAAATATTAAAGTGTTCTTTGACAAAATTCTTGTTTTTACTAAGTGCATAAATGTATAGAGAAAATTTGTTTGGCTTAAAATGTAGGCCACAACTTTAGCTTAGGACCCTTCAAACGGTTCAGAGATAATATATCATGGTCTGACTAAAAGATATTATCCAAAAAATGAAATGATACCCAATTGTGATAACCTAGAGTGATAATGAAACAATCAAAGTGAATAACGGCTCAATTATTTCACCATTTTGTCAGAATGAATGGCAAAATTGATTGTGAGTCTAGTGAGTTATAGACATTCAATTTTGTGATACTACATTGAGTAGGTTATTGAAGGACTTGCAAAAGTGCAAAATTGTGTACGAGTCCAACTACTTATCAAAATATTTAGAAGATATTCCAATCAAGGAATTAGCTTAGCTATCAGCCCAGGACACTAAATTACTATGTTGTTGTGAGATGTTCATTAATATATTACCAAACAATTTATTAAATTTAGCGAATTTCTCTATAGGGACGTAGCAATAACCGTAGGTGACACAGTAAGACCAGTTAGAGATTGAAGACCTAGGCCCGGGACCAATTTACTTTTGCATTTTGATGTCCCAGTGGCTAAAAACACAATTCGTTCAAATTTTTTATGTATATATAACCTGTATTATGTGGGTGTCGGGGAGCGATCTGGCGTAGTGGTTAGAGCGCGGGACTTCAGTCCCTGAGAACATTTAATTTATTTATATAAATTGGTTTGATTTATTTTTAGCATAGTTTTGACGCTACGTATTGTATTTATTACTGAATGGTATAATAAATCTCTTGAATCTCTCTCGAATCAGACATCAACTTCAACCAAAATGAGAGGCTTAGAAGCAACACTTTACATAAAATATTTTTACCCATCTTAACGTATGCAGCTTGAAACTGATCTAGGGGTCTGTGAGGGCCGCAATCCCCCCAATCGGGGTAATTTATTTGAAAAAAAAAAAATAAAAACTAAGAAGTAGGCCTAACTGAGGTATGCCTAGGTTTGAATTTTACTCTAGGATTTGCCTTCAGATTGCCCCAAAATGCATGTTTACAATTACTGAAGGCCTATTTTGTTCAAAAATATCCCCGGGGGGTGATTCCACACCCACAGCACATAAAATTATTACTTGAATTCCCGCTCTTGTATGCCACACGTGCGTTTTTTTCACGCAGTAAAATGTACATAGCTTATTCTCACGCCGGTTGAAGTCCAGGAACGGCAAAATGCATTGGGAACCCGCAGTAGATTGACGAATTCACGTTATTATGTTCTATATCTTCCTCATGGCCGAAATAGTAATCTTGTTTCTCACTAGTGACCAAGAAATATGAATGGGATATTAATTTCGATACGAAAACAACACTTAAATTATTTTATTTTGTTAACCTTTCATTTAGGCCTACCTAATTATTTTAATTTAGTATGAAAAAAAAATCTATTTATGACATATTTAAAATCAATTTATAAGAAGATTTTCATCGAATCGTTGAATTTTCTACTACATAAATGCCTCTTTACATTTTTTAGTCCAACTAAATTCCTTTCCTAAGTAAAAAATTATTAAGTGGTCCAGTAAGGTTGACCTATGTTCAGAGCCGTCTTTATAAAATGCGAGGCCTGGGGCAATACATAATTGCGAGGCCTTGTTTAACCAAGCTCACCGGGGGGTCTGGGGGGTCTGGGGGTCCCCCCCCGGAAAATTTTTGTAAAATTATACTTGTAAAGTCGTCATTTTAAGCACTTTGACGAAAAAAATTAATATTTTACAATCTGAAAATGGGCGTGAATATTATTGCTAATTACACATATTATTGTTCCAATTCCAAAGTGGATATCATAAATATTGCACACGAAATTCTTTACAATCATTAATAAAAAAAAATTAACACTTCTCCTTTACTGTGGATTGTGAATTTAATCAACACTTTGTAAATTAAACAAAGTGGCGGGATGACAATAATTAATAGTAAATGCTTATAGGCTATCTTGTTTATTTATTTTTTTGTCAAGTTAGGTTTATTGTGTTTTCGGCAGTTGGTCTGTGAAGGGTGTTTTAAAGTTAAAAAAATATTACATAAATAATTGTCAATGAGATACTTGCAAATTCGTCATTTCTTTTACACTCTGTAAATGGCCGTTAATATCATAGCTAATTGCACATATTATTGTTCCAATTCCAAAGTGAATATCATAAATATTGTCCACGAAGTTCTTTACAATCATTAATAAAAAAATGAACACTTCTCTTCACTGTGGATTGTCGTCCCGTCACTTTGTAAATAGTAAATGCTCATAGGCTAACTTGTTTATGCACTTTTTGTCAATATAGGTTTATTGTGTTTTCGTCAGTTGGTCTGTAATGGGGGGTTTAAAGGTAAAAAAATATTACCTATAATTGTCAATGAGTTTTTAATAATAAATTAAAAGAGGTAGTATCATTACAGTGTAATTGATTCACAGTATTACTTTTTACTTTAATAACAAAGATTGTTATAGGTTTATGTTTATTGCGAAATGCGAGTAGTTTACAGTCAGTCTTATCCACGCTGATTATCCATTCAATCCAGTAAACATTTACATCTGTAAATAAATTGAACTTAATTAATCATGCAATAGAACTTTAATGGCACCAGTAAGAGTAAGCGTATGACTCACTCACATTCACCGGGGTGGCTCGGTGGCTGCCGCGAGGCTCGGGTTCCGTCATCGCCGCCGAGCTGTCAAACGTTGTTTGATATTCTTTTGTGTTTTAAATGTCGTTCGTAGGTTTTTAATCGATACAACAATTGATATAGGCTAATTCATATAAAATAAGACATATTTTAGGCACATGTATCTGTCTGTCCTTTATTTTTTTATTTTCATTCCAAAACATTAACTTATTTCTAGCGATAGTTAGGCCTCGCCGGGTAGGCCTCGCCGGGCAGGCCTCGCCGGGCAGGCCTCGCTGCGCGAGGCCTTCTCCGGCGCGAGGCCTGGAGCGGCCGCTCCACTCGCTCCACCCTAAGGACGGCGCTGCCTATGTTTAAAATAAAACGTGTAGGCCTACTGTGTAATTGGCTACACCCAAAAATAGTTTACGCTCTTCTGGAAAAGATTTGATACATTTATCTTTATTTAAACTTGCTATGACGACTTGAGAAAAGCTGCGTGTTGCTCCCGCCCGTGTGGCCAGGGACAGAGCGTGAAAACAAGCTTCAAAAATGCACCCCAGTCCATTTTTCTGTGGGCCCGCGGCGGGTTATTTAGCAGACGCGCCGCATCTGCGTGAAAAACGCCCGTGTGGCCGTAGCCTTATTGTCTCAAGTTGTTACCATCACCAATTTTCAATATCTTTATGAAGTAAGCTCTACAAATTTATGGTTTGGCAACACTTTGATATCTGGCTTATCTTAGTCTTAAAGTTAACAATCGATATCGAAAGTTTAGGTTTTGGTAAGTTTTGGTTTGGTTATCAATTGGATTGATAATCCGATGGAGTCATATTTAGAAGTTTTGCATTCGGTTTTAAGAAGTGTTGGTTTGAAGCAAATCCTATACAAGTGTAGTGTTGGTCAGAATAAGAAATGGATTGGTGCTGGATCCAGCCTGGCCTGGTTACTACTACTTAAGTAGATTAGTTAAGTAAGCATAGGACTTAGCTAACCTGTGTACTATTCTATATACATACCTGATTATGGTAGGGCCTACTTATAAATTGGATAAAGGGAGCAGTCTCTATTCTTTTAAACCACAATCGCTGATAAAATTTCCTGAAGTAATCACACTGCTAATCGCTAACGACTCGATCCTGAGGGTTTTACGAGAGGACAAATGTGACTTACGACTGTGGCAGGCCTACGTGAGAGAATAACTTATGTAGTAGGCCAACTAGTGACATTGCTAAGATAAATTAGCCTCCCTTTAAACTGTCAATTAAGATAGCCTATTAAAATAGCTATTCAACGAAATAAGCATAAGCATCTAAAACAGCCTATATTATTAGAAATAGGATATTCAAAAAATGATTTGCTTTAGCTGATTGTCACTCGCTCTAAATTTACTTTCCCTCGCTCTTTTAAGAAAGTCGTAGGCCTAGGACAAGGAATTTGATACTACACCTAGGCTAGGCCTACTCTGATATAAGATTAGCCTTTAAAAATCTAAGTAGATTTTCCATTGTGAGTTGAGACCTAGGTTAAACTTTTATGAGGATTTTATACAGAAAATAAAAATAGTTGTAGGTTATAATACATACCAATAAAAACGTAAGTACTTTCCAACGAAATCTGAGGTAAGGAAATGTAACGCGAATGGCTGTTGAAACTATAATTTTGTATTAACCGAATTACAGAGTGAGCAGGAATTTTAATTTTGGAGGCTTTCCAGCCCCAGCTAGCAGCAGATAGAAAACCAATAAGCTTTTTTCTCATTTGGTTTCCATGACGTCAGCTTTAGTTTTTGATCATGCAACTGCGGAGGTTACTTCTTCGTCTAAATATTATCATTCGTATAAGTGTTTAATCAATCATAATAGAAAATGTTTCTCTTTTGGTGGTAGGTGGTAGGCTACCTATTATAATTGATTACAAATCCTCCGAGACAGGATGAGTATAACCAATGCCATTATGAGGTAAGCCAATATGTTGGTAAAATTATGGGATTGAGTACTTTATTGGAATTTTTTTCAAAAAGGTAGGTATGACCATAGATGGTTATTCAGTGGTATGACTCTTTGCTACCTCAGAGAGTTTTAATGATTTCTTCAACTGCATCCGCGCAAAGTGGTAGTTTGACATTTCAATTTGGGTTGGTAACAACTTCGTTTCTGTTAGTTTTGTGATTAATTTTAGTTAAGACATATAATATATTAGCTCATGGTATTTAAAGAATACCTTGATCCTAACAAAAAGTTTATAGTAACATAGTAAGTATAATAGTGTAAATTGATAATTGAAGATGTTTGTTTCATCACGATGGTTGCATTCATTACCAATTAAGTTAATAGTGAAAACAAATATTTCATCACTAAAGTCTAAAGTAACTAATTTCGATAACAGCTGATATGCAAGAAAGTAGTTGTTTCACTTGTTTCCTAAGCTCTAATTTAGAGCGAGGGAAAAACGATCAGCTGATTGTCACTCGCTCTAAATTTACTTTCCCTCGCTCTTGATTAGTTCTCCATTTATCCAATATGTGCGCTAGGGTTTTGTTAGGTTTATTTTAATGATTTAAATCGGCTGTTTTCATTGTTGCACAATCTAAATGCACAGAAACTAACAGACATTAGTTTGTTTTGCTGTGTTTTTAGCATAGTGCGTGTTTGAAATTGCTCAAAGTATGTCTAACATTACTGAGGATTTGAAGAAAACAGCTTCAGACTAATCACCTTCCACCAGAGAAGTCACGGGGAAGATAAGAAGAGGAATACATAAAGTTAAGAAACTGGTACAAACTACAATTTGTTAAGTAAATCGTCGTAAGACCATTTTAAAAGAGATGCTCGTCCAATATCAATATTTTAAGACTAACATGATAACAAACCCGTATTATTGCATCCATTTACGTAGCCTATGCATTTATGTACAAAAAATTATTTATTGACTTAACGACTGTGGTTTATAGTCATCAGTAACATCACTGTATACGGTTAAAACATCCGTAACGGTTTGTTAATGTAATCGAAATGAAATGGAACAAGAATAGTAGGCTAATAGAGATGGTTTCCTTCGCCTGACCTTGAGGAATGGTACTGTAAATTACAGCTAATCATAATTATGCCAGGCACGGAACAGTAATAATAATACAATTTAAAAAATTTAAATTACGGTGCAAATTAATTTTGTATTCAAGCATCAGGCTAAGAAACAAGTCAACATGATGAAGTTTGTCTCAGTATTCGAACTAGGGGAAAACATTGTGGCGAGTAGGATTGTTTTTATGATTAATTTTATTAAAATACTTGGTTACAAATTTTGAAAAAAAAAAACAAACAAAAAACCGTGAGACGATTTAGAAAGGCGATTGAGTGATACCCGATAGAACTGCGTTGGTCAGAAATCAGGTTTGATTTTAAATCTTCCATTTTACCAGAAAATGTAAAGTATGAGGCTTACATACATACGAATCCTCGAGCATGTAAAATTACAACAGACTAACAACAGTTGACTTGAATTATACACAAACATAACAACATGACAATGACAAACTGTTATATACTGTATCAGTTACACCGCTGGTTACACCCGTTTCCCTGATAAGGCTTTAACTATAAGCCGTTGATTCCTGTAAACTATAAAATAAATAGCTATGTCAGAGCCTTTGAAATCGAAAATTCGTTCCTCATTAGAAAGAATTAATTTGAAAGATTAGTCTACGGTATAGGTGCAATTGTTTTGTTCGTAGATTTTTTTATGAGTGTAGTTCTTGTGAATCATTTGAATTTTACAATATTACCATATAAGCACCATTCAATTATTTTAATAGGGGATGAACCGATCAACTAAATACATGGAACAGTTTTAATCAATTTTGACACCAAACAGACCACTATCAGACCTAATGTCCCAGAACGTTTATTTCACCGTCTAATAGTTGTCTGTCGGATGTAATTCAGATTAGGGTTTCAAAATGAGTAAAATATATAATTGAGCTTCAAAATAACTCAATGATACAGTATTAATTTTTTTATTTATATCACAGCAATTTCATTGGATATTATTTATTATACCTCGTGTTTCTGTTGTAGTAAAATGGCCGACAATCACATAGGCATAACAGTCTAGTCTCATCATTAACATTATCATCTGAATAATTAACTTTAACAAATGTATAAGGTTTTGACAAGCGTTTGTAACAGTAAAACGAGGTCATAGTTTGGAACACCGCTAGAGACGCCAGTAGCGTTGAGCTGGCAATAGTTTACCTAATCACTGCTAGATGTCTGTAGTATTGAGGCTCGCGTCGCAAAAGTATCAACTTCCCAATCCATCGTCGACTCTTGCAGTGATTTTGGGTGTCGGATACAATAACCCACCTGAACGCCATTCTTCATCTACTTGCAGTATCCAAAGTGAAACATTATTTGAGAAGCCGAGAGTTGGTCTTTAATCTGAGACCGATGATTGGCTTATAATCATTAATCATTAGTACTATAGTAATTAATTCAGTAAATTGTGTTAATTTAGTAATAGATTAGTAATTTGCTAGAGACGTTAAAAATTCAACATAGACCTACATATTATGTTCAATTTCCACGATATTGAAATACAGCCTAAAATATGTAATAAAATAATTATATAATTAAATTTCATCGTGCTCAAGTATTGGTGCTACATTTGTGCCTAAATAAACACACATTACTATTACTGACACAGCAAAAAAATACCTAATTAAATACCTGCATTTAACATTAGTAATATTACAGTATTGTCATTTGTAATTTGAGCCATTGTATAATACTTGATGTTGTAATAGTTCATCTAATATTTTATACTCTATAAACCATTTAATTGACTAGACGCATCATACTAATGAACCCCACCAATAAATATACTCTTAGACATATAGTGTTAACATAAAAACGGAAAAATGGATAGTAATAACTGCTAATAAACATTTTGAATACTCTAAGATATGTGGTTCGGCTGGATTATGCAGTCTCAAAGGCTAAATTTAAGGGTTTGCGAGACAAAAAATGTCATAGCCCCAAATGTGGGGCATTTGTGTCTTTAAAGAGATTAGTACTTATACTGAATCTCATTTAGAATAAGTCTAAATAAAACAAACCTTTTAAAATAAAATTATTAATTTGGAAGTCCACAGAACTTTGGTTTTTGGTTTTTGGCTATAAAATATTCCCTTATTTGTGTTACCTGGAAACCATCGTCATTTTCAATTTTGCCAGTTAAATTAGGTTGTAAAGCCAATTTCCCTTCGGTAAACGTTACCTCTACATTCTTAATTTACAAACATTTCCATACCGACGGACAATCTAAAATTATGAAAATATCTGAAATAAAGTTCAACAACAAATTCGTCATATTTAACATCTGTTGACCAGCATTGTTGCGAGTTGCTCTATAGTTGCAACATGTTAGTCATCACATGTCCAATGACAGATTAAGACAAATCTGTGATTGGTAAAATACAAACTAACATTATTGCTTCTAGAGCTCGACATCTGCGATCGGGCCACAGTCAATAATCAACAGGAGTCGTTGCCTCAGGCTGAACTTCAAACCTACATCAATTTGAATTCTAAGAACCCCTGTTAGAATGCCTGCTGCAATTGGATATTGCTTTCACCGTTTTAAGTGACAAAACACGAATCTATGGCACCGTGTTGTCTGTGCTTTAAAAGATGAAAAAGAGGAAAATTATCACAGAGGCATGTAACACGATGGATGCACCAACCACAAACAAATTAACGTTAAGAATATGACAGTTTTTATTTCAATCATGTTTTTGTCTTGAGAATCTTGATATTTTAAAACTTGGATGTGAAAGGAGAAATATTATTTCATGATAATACTCTTTATTCACAAATCCCTAATTATTGTCAAAAAATCCTGAAGGAGCTCAAAATATAACATCACAATCATTTTATAAACTGGGTATTCATTTATGATAAATATTGCCGTTTGTATTTATAAGAAATAGCTTCATTACTGATACTTCGAAGGAAACAATAGTGGGTGAAAACTGTCCAATATGTTGTTAAAGAGCTTATTATGATTCTAAAGTACAAATTTGTATTTATTTTTCCTTCACGTCAACAAACAAAAATAGTAGTGTATCTTTGGATTAAATAAGATTCAACATTTATCTATTATAATAGCTCAAGTAGTAATTCAGTATTATATAATCCGACACCAATTGAAAATTACGATTTCGTCATTCTATTGCCTGCACGTGTAGAAAAGAAGGTTATGCTATAGCTTGAACGTCTGTAGTTTAAAACACGAATGTTTTAAACTAGTTCCTCGTTTGGATTTTGAAACCGTTAGATTGGTATGTAAATTAATTAATTAATTTTATTAGTTACTTAACCATATAAATTACTTTAAAACTATAATATAAGTTTGCATTATTAGTTTATAAACTATAAAATGACAGTGCATTACACATTTTACTTAGGAATGTGTTAAAACTATAGAGTATATTAGTTTATAAATAGTTACACTAACTTATACATATCTTTGCACTCTTTAGTTCAAGTTTTTTATACATTATTAATCATCTGAGATTATTCCTGCCTAATCAGTGTGTTGAGTAGCTCAATAATGTAGAAAAGTGAAAATAATGCATGCAGGTGACGACACATTTAACTCAAAACTCCCTGATTTTCATAAATTGTAGCTCT